TGGTTTATAATTGTTGATCCATTGTGTAGTTGATGCTCTGGGGCTCATTTAACTACTCTATATGGGTAGTTTCAATTATAATAGTTCTATTATAAGCAGTAACACTCAAATAAATGTGCTGGAGTAAAAATGTTAATACTCCCATGAGGTACAAATACCTCAAAATAGTTTTTAAGTACAGTAAATGTACTTAGTTACTCTGAACAGTTGCACAAATGGATTGGCCCTTCTGTACAGTGGCATTTAAAAGCAGAAAAAAATGTTCAGCTCTGCAAAACATCAGTGGTGAAAACTGAAGCAGCAAACACACAAGTACAGTACAATGCAGACGGCTGTTTGTGGTGTGAAGTCTTTTGCTTTCTTTAGGTAAAGTGTGTGATGTTTGCTAAGTAAGTCATAAGCCAAAGACACTCCCAGTGTACCGGCCTCGCCTGCCTCGACTGCTTTGTTTGCTCTTCCTGTAACAGGAAAACTCTCTCTGTTTATCTTCCTTTCCCTTACACTCTCTCATGTGGATTTGTCTCCCTCGGTGGGTAGAGCATTTTAGGCTCCTGCTGACGTGCTTGGTTCCTGCTGTGACCACCCTTACTGCAAATACATGAGCTCTCTCTCCCACTAACACTAAGACAACAAACAAATAAAGAATCATTTACTGTAATTAGACTGAATTCACTTGCTGGCAAGCTTAATCTAACATGAATAAATCCAGTGAAAGGTGAGATGAATCCCTCCTCTCACTTCAAATTCCTGCGTCTCCTGTGTGAAGTCTGTGGAATAAACTATCCTCGGGCTACAGATCCACCACCTTGTACTCTTAACACACTGTTTCTCTCTCTCTCACATACACACAAACCAAATCATTCTGCCCCCTGGCCCCTCTCAGCATTAACAAGCAGCCTCCTTGTGGGCTCAGTAACTGCAAAGCAGCGGGCCTCTTACACTCTGTCCTGTAAAGCTTGACAAGGTTATTGATCTTAGTTTAGTGAACAGAGCACAGCTGGCCTGATGGATGACGCCGTCTGTCTGATCATGAATTACCACAGAGCCGTTAGTAGTCATCTCTTACACAGTACAGTCAGCCCACCTCATTCTCTCTCTGCTCGTCTCCTTTAACATTTGAGGATGGAGTCTATCATTGCACACCCACACACACAAACACAGATTCTTTACCTTGATGTGATATCAGTCCCCTAGGAATCTCATCAGCGAGCCGCCCATCTGCTCCCCATCTCCTCCTCCTAAATCCTGTTTGCCTCTGATACACTGCAAGCATCACACACATATAGATGAACACACACACACACACACACACACACACACACTGGAGTTAGAATCCTGTTTACCTCTGGTGTGGTATCATCCTTGCTGTTTCAGGTCAGTGGACTCATCAGACTTGGTGTCAAGGTGAATGTGGAGCAGAGGGTGAGGAGGAGATAGAGGCAGACTGTGAACAGAACGATAACTCTTCTTTATCGTAAACATCAGTATGGTAAGACCATGGAAGTCTTGAGTAAGTCCAAATGCTGATTTTAGTCGATCCCGTGCTGCCCACTAGTAGAAATGTGGTTATCCTGATGTGTCTCCAGTGTAAATGAAAGATTGTTTATACACTCAAAGTTTGTTACAAGTGTGCTTCACAAGATTTTTTTTTTACAATTTGCAAGTCTAAAGTAAGGAAGTACATAATGGTTCTGTAGCTGGGATGTGAGATCTTGAAGTTCAGTCTCAGACCTGTAGACACAAGTCTCTTATTTTGCCCCGGTAATAAAGCACATCTGAGGATGAGACCTTGTTACACTGCTTGTCTCATTAAAAGAAAGGTTACGAAACTGTGTTCCGTGAAGGTTTCATCATTTTGTCCGGCCTTCCTTTGTATGCTTCACTGTAGTTTCTGAGGCTGACAGAAAGAGCAGAGGGTTATGGCTGTTTTCCTTGTTCAGAGAATGGGCTTTGGTCTTTGCTTAATTACTTTAAGAGTAAGCTATAATGACAGCTCCTTTCCCCTCAGTGGTGCAAAATGATGTTTCATATTTTCACAAAGTTTGTCTAATAATGTGCTCTGACAAAGTGCTAGACGACCTCTGGATTGTGTGATAGTGATCAGCTGTTGTGTTTGGAGACCAGAGGAATTCATTTACACTCTATTCATTCTGGTAGCCTTTGACCACAGTGCTGTTATCTCATTGTCAACAATATCAGATGGACATTATTGACAATAACCCACTGCCCGTCTTATCTCATAGAATGGACCACTGAACCTGAGCATTTACTCTCTCTTCTCTTCCTGTTTTTTAATCTAGTGTTGCTGTCCTCTTTCTCATCTTTTTCTTACTATGCCTCTCATTTTGCAGCTCCTCCGCCTCCTATCCTTTGTTTTAATTCCCATCACTGTATATCCCTCCTCTCTCTTTTCTCTCTACCCTCCATCTCTCTCATAATGCTCTTTCAAGGGATAAATACTTGGATGTGCTTGGCCGCTGTTACTTCTTCTGCAGTGATTGAGTGTCTTTCTTTAGGTTTTCATCATTCCCATTCCACCCCCACTGCGCGCTTTCATTTCTTTGTAAACTTTGTCCGCCCACAGACACCGGTATGTTTATGACCTAAAATTAAATTTCCTCTTGGCAATAATTTCCCAAGCATATGGGGGAAAGTAGCCGGGCGTATTCTTGAAACACTTAAAGGGAATTGATCCTGTTTCTCCTTCCATCACTTGAAAGCCAGTAATGCACTCTTGCTGAGTGTTGGCTTCAGAAAGATATGGCCATATTGCCCAAGAATCTCATGATACAAGGCCGGTTAGGGGGGCATCATTTCTCAAGGGCTTTACATGCTTTTTAACCACGCTAGTGGAGTAGCTCTAGGGATGGCAGTGTCGCTCAGTTGGTCCTCCACTTTGGTTCAGACTGAAATATCTTTAGAGCTATTGAATGGATTGCCATAAAACTTCATACAGACATTCACATTCTCCAGAAGATGAAACCCTATTGAATTTTGAAATTCTTGACCTTTCCATATAGCACCGTGTCTTGGACCAAGCAGTCCAAGAACAAAGACCACAGGTTTTAAGTTAAAAAAGGTGGGTTTATATTCCCAAAAATCAATTTTACAAAGCAAATGACTAAAGATAACAGAATTGCAGTTATAGGGCCCGTAAAAGAGGTCAGCAAAACATAACATAAAAATAAGGTTAACAAAACTAGACGTTAACTCAACAAACAGACCTAACAGAATGAGACACTGGGGTAACATATATACTGGCTGAGCAGACAAAATTAAACACAAAGGGGAGAATTTACACAGACAATAACCAAAAACGAACACAAAGTAACCCATAATCCCCCCCATGATGTCACAGCTCTTGGTTTGTTCCATAGGCTGGCCTTCTACATAAAACCAGGCTCTGCCCTCAGCCCCATCTTTTACCTAGCTCCAACCAGAAAGTGAGCATGACTTCAGGTAACTCTAAGACAAAGAGAACAGAATTAATAACTGACGAAAGCAAATAGCAAATTGACCAAACAATGTAAAGTAAATGTGCACGCTTCATCTAGAAAACAGTGTGTTGTCAAAGTGCTAATAAATCAATTTTAACTCAACAAATTGGTTTTGTGTGTATTTTAAGTGACTGCAAATTAAAGGTAACTGAACATGTGGTAAGGGTGTCGGTGAGTATGTGAATCAGTTCAGTTTTTTGTGTGGCTGTGGGCACAGCCATCACACACCGATCACATTCCTGCAAAACTAAAGACATTTCCATCGGCCTCAGGTCTACTTGTGTTTAGTGCTAATTAGGAAATGTTAGCATGATATCATGTTATACTAAGACTGTGCAAGTATGTTGGCATGCTGGTGTTATCATTTAGCTGTGCCTAAGTAATGCCCATAGACTGTATAAAAAGAAGTGGATGTAGCTACTGGGTCTGAAAAATGAAGCCAGTGCAGAAGTGCCTTAAAGTTACTAGGTCACTGTTATGAAAATAGTATTTTTTTGTCATATTTGTTGAAACTGTCAGTAGTCCATACAACAAATTATCTGTGAAAAAAATAATGTTTCCTTTGGCTCCTACTAGGGCTGTTAATGGCATTTGCAATAATCCACCAATCCTGAGCGAAAATAACCAATCATCGGCACATCGGCCTTCTTCTGTGAAAGTGAAAGTTAAAGCAACTGACTTTTTATCAGTCTTTTTCTGTTTCCCTGTATTTGCAGTGTATGCTACTGACAGCGCAGGGTGTGCACGTGCAGTGATCGACGTGCCTTAGAGACCCCTTCTGCCTCTGATTGGTTGTTTTCATTCAGGTCTGTTAATCATGTAAGAGGTGTAGCAATGGCTATCCTCCCCAGGTCCACCCTCTCATTCCAGTATGGTCACCTCTGGCCAAAATGCCTAATTCAAGGCTTCAGAATAGTAGTCCACAAACAAATGGGCGGCATCATGGTGAATCTGTCCACTTCTTTTATACAGTCTGGTACAGCCACACAGAGCCACTAGCATGGCTGTCGCCTTGTTGATATGCTGCAATGACACTTCAGCCTTGTCCACATCACCAGCTTCTACCAACAATGCATGTAACATTGAGTTCAATTCCCAAAACCTTGCATTTGTGTGGTGACCAGGGTGTTTATGCATCTAAAGGTGTATATCAACCTTGAGGGTAAGGGAGTGTTTGTGTTTTTGCACATGTGGGTTAAATGTCTGTATTTGTGTCTGTTGCTTTTGCCTGCATGTGAGTGTGTGAGAGTTTAAACTTTAATATGATGAAATCCTAGAAGCCTCTGTTCTGTTCCACAGGAGTACGCTCACACACGCACACACACACACTAGTGCCTTTGAACAGAGCACCAATGGAACAACGGTCTCTGTAGTTGTCATGGAAATGACAGATGTGACAGCTGGAGGAAAGACTTGCAGGGAGTATTATGGGGTGTTTGGAGTTGTTGTGTGACAAGTGGAGCGTCACCTAATCTTGTGCCTGTTTACTGTTTGTTCCCATAGACGTATCTCCTGGGAATCATAATCTCCATATGTGGGAATGTCCTCATCAGCATTTCACTCAACATACAGGTAGGAAGTGCTGGAGCCCAGCTGTACAGCAGACACTGCACGCAGCACACTGCCTTTCTCTTGACAGACACTGACAGTGTGATCTGCTGCCATGTTCACAGTGGGGCGTTGTGCAGCAGATAGCAGAAACGACTTTGTATTTTATGCCAATAAAGCTTATTTGAGTTAGAATTAAAAGAAGGGAATGTTTAAACATCAGAAATCAATTCAATTTTAATACTGTGACTAGCAACACAATCGTCCAGTCAAGTAATCAAACAGCAAGTTTTCAACACTTTGTGTCTGGACTTAATTATATTACTAATTATACTCCCTGATGCCTTGTCAACACTAATTCAAGTGAAACTTAAGCAGTAGTTTTTTTACAGGGTCTAAAAATCAACTTTATTCACGGCCTGCCACTGTGGCAGGCAAGTTGTTTTTTTTGACTGACATTTTATCTGCCACTTTTGAAATGTAAAGCGCTAAATGAAGGGATAACACTATGATGTCATTAAATGGAAAGAATGGTGCCTTTAATTGTTTTTTTTATATGTACAAAAAAGTAATACATGCATGGTTGATTTCAGTATTCACATTCTGCCGTGGATTTCGGGAGCCCTATTTTTTGGGGGGTGGGGGAGAAATGTACACATGCATATACTTGAATGCACCCACCTACGTGCAGAATTATACTATCAATACATTTCAATTCATACAGAGAATATTCAGCCCAAGAAACTGAGAAATGATTCTCTGTACATTTACTACCACTTGACAACTTCACTGCAAATTTCTCCTTTACTCAAATCGCCAACGGCTGTCTGCTATCATCCGCTGTCTCTCTTTCCCACTCGACCACACACTCCCTACGCCCTGAGCTATCCCTTCAGACGAAATTTAAACACGCGGTGGTGAAGTTGGTTACAATCAGTGAACTTCAACTGTCAGTCAAAACAAATAAGATTCCACAGCGCTGCTTTTATATAGCAGTTGCGAGCGACTTTTAAATGTGTAGCTCTATTCAGTCATATGCTTAACCTTCTGTTGTGCACTTTTACTGAGGCTTTAGAAGCTGAAGTTACATTTTTTTTATCTGTTTTAAACAATTGCTTTTTTCCCACTGTGTCATTAAGATAATAACAATGTAATGTCTGTTGCTTAATTACACTCTGATTAGCAGATGCAAAACTCTATTGATGCATGTGTAGAAACCGGGTGTTTGTAGCAACAGATGTGTAAAACAGATTGAGAGGGCGTGTCCACTTAAACTAAATGTGATAAAGTGCTGTAAAGGGCTGATAACCATTGTTTATTAAGCAATGTAAGCTTGCAAAGAAAGCATTGTTAATGATTATGAGGTATAGATATGCGTTTGCCTTGTACAGCTTCCCACCTCATTGGTTAGCTTAATTAGTGTCATGCCTCTTCTGGGATGAAATGCTAATCAGCAGAGGGTGTTATGGTGTGTTCAGAGGTATGTGACAGCCTCTGTAATGCTGTTTTATTCCATAAATTACACCTTGTTTTTCAAGTGTTATATATTTGGCTGTGTAAGGTATATATGTGAGTTTGTCTTGTGCAGCTCTTCAGTTATTGGATCTGCTTAATCTTACTGACGCCTCTGGCTCCTGTTCCCTCTCTTCCTGACAGAAATATGCCCACGTCCGTCAGTCTCAGCGGGGCTCCAAGCCTTACTACACCTCTGCGATGTGGTGGTGTGGTGTGGTTCTCATGGGCATCGGCGAGCTCGGGAACTTTGCTGCCTACGGCTTTGCCCCAGCATCGCTCATAGCCCCGCTAGGTTGTGTGTCTGTCATAGGTAAGGGTGACCTTTTTTCCCTCTCATACATTATCCATGCATGAAGGCAGGAGGAAAGGTTGCTTCCTCTGGGAACAACAGCAAGCGTTGCCATGTGAAGTCTGCTCTTTTTTTTCCGATCTTGACATAAACAGTCCTCTTTATACCAAGTGCTTATATAATGTGCTGAAAGTCTGACAGGTTTTACTTTTGGGTTTGACATCTGAAAAAAAATCTCTGAGTTGCACTGTGAATACACATTGGGAGGTATATTGCAATTACTGATACACATTTCCAAAATGCCCATATGAAGTCAGAGTGACATAATTTTTTATAGATATGGTCACTCCAAAAAAGATCAGAGGCATTGTTGCAGTTTCAAACTTTTAGTTTTACTTTAAACCCTTTGTCAGTGACAGATGGACATGTCAACAATCCATCAACAATCCATCTCAGTGGTAATGAAAGGTTTTTCTTCTTTAGCCTCTGTACTGTGACGTATTTCCCAGTGAAACAGAATGTTTGATCGGTGTTCAGTTACAAGGGGGATTTAAATCAAACTTTTGCATTTGATTGAACTGCTTAAAGTAGGCGGGCTTAAATGTAAGTGCATTACAGAGCTACAGCAGACTGCCGGCTACACACTCCAGAGGGAAAAATGAATGAATGAATTAGACCTCACCTATGTTTTGGAAATGAAAACAAAGGTTTGAAAGTTAGCTAACTTAATAACAGCTTGGTGCGCCTAAAAATTGCAGATTGATTGATGGGTAAATGTTGTGATGTTATTGGTTGAAATTGGTTGGTACCAAGCCGCAACTTCGAGGGCTGAAAACTGAAGCCAACACTAAGTCCCAAACCTGCAGTTCTTTGAGTGGCCACTTAAGGCTGGATCCAGAAGCCAGTCAAAAGACCCCCATGTTAAAATGTCTGACTTTATAGCAGGAATAAACATGTTTACAGCCTGGTACAAAAACAGTTTTAGTCTCTATGGTGAATTTCCTTCTTCATGACAACTGTACGGGGGTTACATTTTTATAACTCACCTGTTTACATTTTATTGACGCTTAAAGTTATGCATGTTTTAGGGCAGGCCACTTTGAGTGACAGACAGTCTGCTAATAGTGTCCTTGGCTTCTCGGTCAGATCCATACATTGCTCCTCCACAGCTCCAGCCTCTTGCTTAAATATGGTCACCTCTGGCTCCAAAAAAAAAAAAGATGGCAATGGCTTAAATGCTGAACTTGAGTCTTCAAAATGGGAGTCCACAAACCAATGGGTGAAGTCATGGTAGCTACATCAATTATTTATACAGTCTATGGTTGGCACTAGCTCACATGAGCAAACTTTAGATTTTGTTTTACAGGAACAAGAACAGTTCGGATATTGATGTAGGACAATGAAGAAATTGATTTTCTTTTTCTGCATATATTGCATAATAGGTACACTGAATGTTCAGGAATGTGATCTCAAAGGGTTAAACGGGCATTTTTCATTTCATGTCAACTTTAAAATGTTAAACTTTTCAGCAATTTACAAATGTAGGAAAGCAAAGATTACAGGAACATGTTAAGAAATAAATATTTTCTTCTTTTCTGTCTTGTTAATCATCTCCTGGTCCCACATATTTAACACACAACCTCCTGGAAGAGTCCCTACCCCCAGGGTGGAAACCAGTGGATGGACACTATACAAAAACACAGATATAATTGACTGAAATAAATACTGGGACATCTTACATTTTTAGATGTGCTTATCAGTAGATATATAAGCTTTCCCTGAGCAGTGGGCTAAAAGCTTCTACAGAGCTGAAGGTGTTTGCATGATGGTGAAAACATTAGGTATTGACAACCAAAAATTGAAAGTGCAGCATTAATGCCTCTGTCCTTTATGCTGACCCTCTGCTCTTAGATGTTTTAAAAATCAGTGCATGTCCTGGTTTATAGATTCGGCCAAAACAAATCTTAACAGCACCTTGTTCAAATAACAGGACATAAAAATGAACTACATTAATGGAAGCTCTGTATCCACAGGAGTAGTGCTATTTCCATGCTGCTTATCACGACTCCACATCTACCTGTGCTGTTGAGGCTGATAGGCTTCACCTCATTCAGCGCAGTCTCTCAGACACAGACGCTTGCTTTTAAAAAGAAGCTTCCAACTGTTGCTGTACAGCCTCACACAGCAGTCCAGTGTGTAGGTGCGTGTTTGTTTTTCCCATTTCTTAGTTTATATCGAGCACTGGACCCAAAACCCTTCAAATTTTATGGGTGATTCAGGAAGTCCAATTACTTCTGACATTATAAATCCAACGGCCCAGTCCAGAAATGATCATTTTTACAGCCCACAGTGTGAACTAAAGCTGTCACAAACTAAGCCGGATTCATTAGCCAATCAAAACAAAGCCTGCCTGGTTGCTACAGCGAGCAGCTGCTCAGTGCAAACACTCTAAACACAGGTTAAATATTGAACAGGTTCACTTCTTACCTCCCGCCACCAATCACTCACCGCGCTGGAGGTGGTGGTGAGTCATGGATATAAATGACAGCTATTACCCCGACGCTTCAAACGATTTTCCTAGAGTCACGCCTCACAAGTGGATGAATGGTTTGAATAAAGCACTGAACGAAACCACAAATCGCATTAAGAAGGCTGCACCTCTTGTTCATTGTAGTTCTGCACAGTGATGTATTTGCTTCAAAGAGCAGTACCCTCTCAGTGCTGTCAGTGTGTGTAAAGCTGACATGAGGACTGTCTTTAAACCTACAGGTATTAACAATTACTCTGCTCATTTCCATTTTACTATGAATATTATCCCTATAAAAACCACAAATTGCTAGACACTAGTGTTACATTGAAGTGTGCATGAATAATATGCAGCTGAAGTGTGTCTTGAAGGAGTGCCTTGAAGAATTAATGAAGCCAGAGATGAAGAGGTTAAAGGAGAGGAAAGGAGAGGGAGATGTCTGCAGCTGTGACACGGCCTGTCCTCCTCAGAACTAACAAGTAGAGCTGAGGGGAAAATGCGCAGGTTGCTGTCTGCCATCGTGACTCCATTCTCACCTTGCGCTGACTCACACTGTACGCAAATGAGCAAACGCACACACAAATGCGTGCATAACCGTAGTGGTGTGTAAAAACACCAAGGTCTAGTGGATTTTTTTTTTTTTTCGACCAGAGATGCTTCTTCGGCTAACACACACACACACACACCCCTCCTGCGGTGCTGTAGTTCATGTTTTCCAAGAGCTGTGTGAAGGCTCAGAGGGTGGGGGGACAGACAGCGGGAGGCCTTGGGTGAGTAAACAAGAGGGAGGAAAGTGGTTGGGTGGGTAGAGGAGAGGAGTGAGGAGGTTGGGTGCTGAGAGGAGGAGATGGTGAGGTGATAGAAAGGAAAGGGAATGGAGAGAATAAGGAAATAAGACAACAGGCAAAAGCAGAGGAGGGAAGGGATGGGATCGGGAGAGTTGATGATGTTGCTGTCACCCGCCTGTCCCTGCTTGTCACACTGGCACACTAACGCTCCATGGAGAGCAATTACTACTGTCTCCATCCACAGAGCCAAACAGTCTCTATTTGGAATGACAGCATCATCCCAGATGCTGTTGTATGGAGAAGAGCATCAGCGCACACCGTCAGATGCCATGTCATCACATGCAAAAGAGGAGGGAGGCCGGCATGGTGTAAATAAACAGAAACCTGATTCACACACTGCATCAGCATTGCTCGCAGATGTCAGACCTGCAGCTCTGTAACATTGACTAAGATGTGTTGTTATCACTGTGTGAAGCAGTCAGTTTTTAATTATTTAAATAGCTCTACGGCTTTAATCATAGACTGTATTCGATAATTGATGTAGCTACCATAACATCACATATTGGTTTGTGAACTCCCATTCATACGTAAACTTCAAGCCTTAATAAAATGTAAACGGGTGAGTTCTGTAAAAATTCACTCCCCTCTACAGTTGTCGTGATAGGGGAAATTAGCTATAGAGGTCGGCACATTTTTTGTGCCAGGCTGTAAACATCTTTTCTTTGTGCTGTAAAGTGGAGCATTTTATGATGGGGGTCAATGGGGACTGACTGGCTTATAGTAAGGCTATTCAAGAGAAGGCTGAGACACGGGGTCAGACATGGGGGGATTGCACATGCGCACTAACATCTGGTCTGCACATTGTCACCCTCCAGCATTGCAGCTCAAGTTACACTGCGCATGTGCAATCCCCCCATGTTTGACCACGTGTCTCAGCCTTCTCTTAAATAGCCTTGGCTTATGGATCCAGCCTTAAGTGGCTATTAGAGGTACTACAGTTTTTGGCACTGGTCATTAAGGAATTTCACAGAAGTTCAAGGAAGTTTGGTTTGTCTTTCATGTTCAGAAATAGAACCTCAGATTTTATAGTCTAATATTTCACTTCAAAACTTCTATATAGCATCTATAATACAACATTTGTCTGTTTAAGAATTTTTTAAAGCCAGTCTTAACCCTAATGTTTTTTCACAGGACAAGAAAGCTTAATAATGTCACAATTTTTGTCATTTGTGACATTGCGAACGTACAATATGTGGCAATATTTCCTTTATTTGAGCTTCTCTGGGAGATGACAGCTCAACTTTCACTGCTTTCATACGTTACTGTCAGATCTGTGTGGTGAAAGAATGTTTGACATGGTGTGTTTTCCCACAGGGAAGTTCCCATTACTGCACATCTGAGAGAGCGCGTAGAGGGGCAGTACTGATCTGATCCACACACACACACCTCTGTAAACACACAAGAGCAGTGACAGAACTGTGTACCCCAGAGGTTACCACATTTCTCATTTTATCAAGCCGTGTGAATCTCACTTTGTTCAGAGTTGCTATGGTTACTTGTTAGATCCAGCTGGTCCCAGAGGCAAAGAAGGAGTCCTAAATGTGAATGTGAACACGCTCACAGTATGAAATATTTAACAACTGACTGTTTCATCAGAATACCAACGAGAGTCTTTATAAACTTCCAATTTGGCAGTAATGTCCCGGCGGCATCTTGCACATCCATGCGTTGTTTCACACGTTTTCTCTGAAAGACACTCTATCACTATGTTAACAGTTACAGCCACGCAGAATACAAAGTGAAATTGTGCTTTAAAGGTCCCATAATATAAAAAGTCCAATTTCCATGTCTTTTTTATTAGAAAGCAGATGTAGGTGTCATATAAATACTGTGAAAGTATCACAACTTGGGAAGCACCAATTGTGAAATTATAGACTGATACTGTGTTTATAAAAACAATTTGGCGGATAGTTTGAAGCCCTGCTTTTTAGCCTGGGCAAAACTGATGTGACACAATGGAAAAACTTCGGCCACTGCCATCACTGAATGTCATCTTATGGCTGATAGCAGTCAACAAGGCAAATATTGGGCAATACTGATGTGCAGCAGATAAATCGGTGCATCCCTAATCAAAACGCTCAGTCTACACAGAAATGCACATAGCCATATTCAGAAGTGAAGTTGTGATGTCACAACTATTCTATATAAAGGTAGAAACTGTTACTACAGTGCCATTACAGTCATTTCCCAGGTGTAATGATGGTGCAAAAATGCAGAGAGTGCAGATGTGGAAGACCTGGAAATGCTGACCAATCAGAGCAGACTGGGCTTTTTTGGGAAGGGGGCTTAAAGAGACAGGTGCTAAAACAAAGCATTTCAGACAGCGGATGATTACAGGTATATTCAGGCTGTCAGTATAAGAAAAATCACATGCTTTTTAAACATTAAAGCATGTAAACATGTTCTAATAGAAACCTCAAATACAAGTATGAACTTGAAACTTAGCATAGTATGGGACCTTTGACTCAATGTGAATTCCATTTTTTGTTTATAGTAAAGTTTTTCATGGCTTGAGTTTATTAGCTTGCCTAAAATCAACTCTCAGGTGGAAGCATTTGCTAATAAAGCTCCAATTGTGCTCTACAGTCAGTGTTTAACATCCATGTTGAGAACCTGTCTGCCTTGCCACGCCACTTCAGTGATCTCATATGTGACACGATGTGTGTCTCTGACATATTGAGCTGTTTATGCTCTGTAGCTAATCTCCTTATGATGGTGGCAGAGCCTGTGCACAAACTCAAACTGCCTGTCTGTCTGTTTTCCAGTATTTTCCAGCAATTTTTCTGTTCAGTTAGATTGTCTCTGTCTGAGTGCCATCACCTGCATGCCCGTCTGGCTGGCTGGCAGTCACGCACTAAAGTCGTGTCCAAAATCTCCCAGCAAACACAGCTGCCACAGCTGGCTCTGCTGAGGTATTGGTGGAATGTAAAACAACATCACGACAGAAAAGGATGTCAAATTAGGTACTCAAAAGTGTTGTCAAGTGTTGAGGACCTCCAGCATGGCAGCCACAGCATGTTATGTAAACTGACCTCCTCACTGACAGGCTGCTGTCACTTGCATATCTATTTGCCTCCCTGTCAGTCTGTCTGCTGCCTGATTGTCTTGTAGTTTGCTTTTCTGTCTCAGGCAGTTAGTCCACCTGTGTGGCCATCCATCTGTGTATCTGCCTGTTTATCGACATGTCTGTGTGTCTGCATGCATATCTGCCCGTCTCGCCATCCGTCTCTGTGACAGCCAAATGCTGTATGTTTATTCATCTCCCCAGTTCGTTGCATATCCCATGGAAACATTAAGAAGACTAATCTGAGGCGTAGCTCATGTGAAACTGATTGCTTTTCACCGTCACAGATTTTGACAATGATATTGATTAATGAGTTCATGAAAAATGTGGCATGGAATAGCATCTTGCCGTAATTTGATGCTGGCGTTATGAAGTCCTAATGAGTTCCATTTATCTGAGCAAGCTGACAGATCATATCAGGCTTATCAATATAAACATGTGAAGCATTATGTGTGTATCTGTTTCTGTTAACATGCATTTACACAGTATAGTCTTACTGTGTGTACACATGTATGACTGAGTGCTTGTCTATAATGTGTGGACATACAATATATATGAGAAATTATAGTCATATTCTCACAGCACACACTGCACAGTAAAATCTAATTACCCCTCATTTCATATTAGTATACATGTATATAGCCTGTCTGTTTGCAATACTGTTGATGTAATTGATATTTTTATCAAGTCAACATTTAGTTGTGTCATACCCTGCTTGCAATTAAAATGACTTGTTGCTTCAAAAAATAAATCAATCTAGAATACAAGGCCACAAAAAATGGCTTTATTTATGTTTTTATTGCCAAGCATTGATCGTGATGTTATTAATATAAACAACAGAGAGCAGGTTCGATCTACAATTCAAATTATTTGGTGTCAAGGCTGTGTTTAATGTATCTGATTGCTGTTTAAAAAGTATACAGTATGAGATAAAACTGTGTCCCAGTTCAGATTATATTCTTTTAGCCGTGAAAAGTAACTGTGGCATGTTTTATAGCCAGTTAAACTAACAAGAATATATTTTCACTTCCCAGCCAGCGCTATCATATCTGTGGTTTTCCTCAAGGAGACGGTGCGCGCCTCTGACATTGTTGGTAAGCAAACACTCAGTTGGGATCCTCTCAGATTGCTGCTGAGCTTGAGAGGTAACATTTTAGAGTTCAGATATATCAAAGTGACTTCACAGATTATCTCAGTTTGAAAAAAAAAAACCCTGAGACCGACAAAACACTGGAGTTTGCCTGAGATGGAAATCAAACATTTTTTCCGCTAGTTAAAAAGTCTAATTGCTGTGTGTTTCTGCCAGTGGAAATGAAAGGCACAATCTGTTCAACAGACCTGTCTCATTATGTTGTTTTATGAAAAGCTATTGTTTGTCATAACAATTTGTAGAGTCTGCTGTTAAGTGGCATGGTCGTGATGGTTGTCACAATGACAGTCATTACAACTGCTAGATTGGACATTTATATCAGCACCACACAGCCCTGCATATTGTTGCTTTCCTAGATAAATCATCAGCAATTTTGCCAGTTTTGCTATCATCTTGTAATTGCTGAGTGACTTCATCAGCCACATACTGGAAACATTTAATTGTATGAATATTTTATTTATAAAGGGGGAAATCACTGAGAGCAAACTGTTTTTTAGCAGTGCCCAGTTTGCAAAGGGTTGTGCAATCCAACAACAGATGTATGATGTAAAAGATGAATGACAAAAAATTGAAATTAAAAATGAAATGTTCAGCTCATGGTAATATTCCAATAAGGTAAACTGTGAGTTTATTCTGAAGGTTAGTCCTTTGATAGAGTAAGTAACTTCAAAGCTGGCTTTTCAAGGTAAGTCTTAATTCTTAACTCAGAATTTCTAAACAAAGATTGCACATGTGAGGCACAATGCATTTTGAACTGAAGGGGGCTGGCAAGATAGGTAGGTAAATTTCCTTTTACGGTTTATAAGAAAAAAAGCTCATGCCTATTGACATGATGTAGCATATACCAATATCACCAATAACAAAATAAATGTCACGCTCACAGTTTTTGACCAAAACAGCCCCTCTTTCTTTGTTCTTGATGAAAAAACCCAGAGGTATGCATGATGTACAGGTAAACAGCAGGAAAACTTTTGAACATGAAATAACTCTTTAAAATTTGCAGTGACTGTTAAAAGGAACAGTGTGTAAGATATAAGTTGATTTAATGAAATCTAGTGGTGAGAAATTCAGATTGTAACCCACTGAAACTTCTTCCAGTTGGAATTTCCTCAGTGTTCATTGTTCAGGAGGTTTTTATCAGGAGCCAAATTGTCCGCAGAGGTCTCTTCCTCACCAAAACAAACAGACCCAGTGATTTAAAGCCGTAATAGCACTTCTAACATGCTTCTAACTACAGTGGCCAACACGAAATTGCAAAAACAGGAATGGCTCTATTTAAAGGCAGTGTTTGGTTTGTCCACTCTGGGCTACTGTAGAAACATGACAGTTTACCATGGTGATCTCCATATACAAGGACCCACTCCCTATGTCGATATAAATGGGTCATTCTAAGGTCATAAAAACACAACGATTATTATTTTCAGGTGATTATGCACTAAAAAAACATACTTATTGTATTATATTCAATTTCTGCCAATGCTCCCTAATTTCTACACACTGGACCGATAAATCACCTTCATTTTGAAAAGCCATACTTGCAGAATTTGAGAATAGTGCCTGTTGTAACAGGTGAGTTAAAAAATATGTGCATCTTGTTCTGCATTCACATCTGAGTTAGAAACAAAACCTTTTCACTACAGTCTCACCACTCTGCTCTCTTTCTTATAGGTGGCACCCTGGCAATAACAGGAACGTATGTCCTGGTGACCTTCGCCCCCCACACTTCCACTCACATCACAGCCCATCTGGTCCAGTACTACGCTGTCAGCTGGCACTTCCTGCTTTACCTTGTATGTAACGCTGTAAAACTCTCTCACTGCCTGAGTCCAGTTACATGTGTGAGCTTTTTCTTGTTTCCTTGGAGATAACGTTTGTATGTGTCAGTGGGTTGCTGTTTAATACTTAAAGGAGCACACCACTGAAATGTCCTCAAACATGTTACTGTATGCATACCAATTCCTGTCTCACTTTCAATTAGCTCATCCCAACCTTTAACCTCCCTGTGGAGAGGAGCAAGAGGGTGACTACTCTTAAGGGTTCATTAAAGTAATGCATTTTTATTAATGCTTTGTCAAGAGGTGAAGTAAAGTTGATGACCAACCTGACCTCAGTGAATGAATGGAATCGAATTTTGTGAAGTGGGGAGCGAGTCTGTTATAACTAAGATTGTGTTTTTGCACTCAGTATTAAAAAATACTGGCCACACCTCATGGTCTGCCAGTGCATTAACATTCACCCATGTGCTCTCCTACTCCAATTTCCCCTCAGGCAGGGATGGCATAAACATAGCTGTTACCATAGTGACAGATTTGGTACAGAGCTGAAACAAGGTGTTTTTCTCAAAACCTACTCATCACAAAATGTAAATGTTAGCTCCAAATGTTAACACTAGTCTCTGTAAACACCTTAGATGTCTTTTAAAGGAAGATTTCGACAGCAGAGGGTCATATCCTGCTGCTTTTCCACTGATGCCAGGACTCCTGCGATAGCAGCAGAGAGGGAGCTCTGTGTTTTCCACTTTTCAGGTTAAAGAGTTACAGTTCTTTGTGTTATTCAGGAGTGAGGAGGAAAGAGAAGCACTCTTTTGTGCTAGAAAGTGTGACACCTTTGATCTGTTCCTTAGGAAACTGCTAGTGGAAGTCTTAAACACCACTGAGGATCTGTAGCCTGCTGCATTTCTGATATTTATATACTGGTTTGTTATTGCAGTATTTTAGTGATGGATGGACCGATTGTTTTCACAGTTTCAGTTCCTTTGAGTTGCAATATGTAAATGTATTGAGCTCTTTAAATTGTGATCCCACAAAACTCTTTAATGCATCACCAGTCATTATATATAAGTTACATTAATAACTATGAAATGATGCATTGATTCAGCCTCCCACTTGTATGTAGGTAGGCTTTGTATGCTCAGTGTAATGTTACAGAAATGTCAGTGACCAACAATCTGATGTTCTTTGATGGGGAAGTAGCAGATGTCCCAGTTACCTCCACAGCCATGTGCTGCTTTTATTTGGTGTCAGAATAATCTGAAAAATGAGAGTAAACAACCTGTTGTTTAACGCTTTGAGCAATGAAGCACAACACATCTTCTCTGAAGCGTTCATGATGTTTCCACATAACAACTTAAAGCTCATGAACTCACCGAAGTCAGGAGGATGACCATCTGAGGAACACCTAGAAGCACCTTTGGCCTTGGCTGGCAGAGGTCTTGATTCAAGTCCAATTTAATTGCCAGGACCAATTAAATTGGACTTGAATTAAGACCTCAAGACCTTTGTTGATTCAGTGCTGTTGCTGCACTGTGTTACTGCATAACAACAAAATGAGCAGCAGGAATGGGCATGCACTTTTGGAAGCAGGTTAATAAGTTTGTTTTCATCAGTTTATAATCACCTGAAAATAAGAAAAGTGTTTTTGTTACCTAGGTTAATTGGTGACACTAAATTGCCCATAGGTGCGAATGTGAGTGTGAATGGTTGTCCGTCTCTACGTGTCAGCCCTGCGATAGTCTGGCGACCTGTCCAGGGTGTACCCTGCCTCTCGCCCAATCTCAGCTGGGATAGGCTCCAGCCCCCCCCACGACCCTCAAGAGGATAAGCGGTTAGAAAATGGATGGATGGATGGATGGATGTTTTTGTTACCTTAAAATGAGCTTTTCATATCTACATAATGAGCAGGTCCTCTCCAACAGAATCATGTTGTTTCTACAGCAGGCAAGAATGGACAAACCAAACACTGGGTTTAGATAGGGCCATTCGCATTTTTACGTTTTTGCATTTCTGCATTTTGCTGACATCCCACTTCGAGAGAACGCTGAGTGTAGCTGCCAGGCTGTCTGAACTTGAATCCTCTTATCATAATATGATAAAAGCGAGTGGTCAAGTGGGAAAAGATGGGGATTGATGAGCATTCGGAAGTTTGAAGTTTGTTATTATATATATATATATATATATATACAGTACAGGCCAAAAGTTTGGACACACCTTCTCATTCAATGCGTTTTCTTTATTTTCATGACTATTTACATTGTAGATTCTCACTGAAGGCATCAAAACTATGAATGAACACATGTGGAGTTATGTACTTAACAAAAAAAGGTGAAATAACTGAAAACATGTTTTATATTCTAGTTTCTTCAAAATAGCCACCCTTTGCTCTGATTACTGCTTTGCACACTCTTGGCATTCTCTCCATGAGCTTCAAGAGGTAGTCACCTGAAATGGTTTCCACTTCACAGGTGTGCCTTATCAGGGTTAATTAGTGGAATTTCTTGCTTTATCAATGGGGTTGGGACCATCAGTTGTGTTGTGCAGAAGTCAGGTTAATACACAGCCGACAGCCCTATTGGACAACTGTTAAAATTCATATTATGGCAAGAACCAATCAGCTAACTAAAGAAAAACAAGTGGCCATCATTACTTTAAGAAATGAAGGTCAGTCAGTCCGGAAAATTGCAAAAACTTTAAATGTGTCCCCAAGTGGAGTCGCAAAAACCATCAAGCGCTACAACGAAACTGGCACACATGAGGACCGACCCAGGAAAGGAAGACCAAGAGTCACCTCCGCTTCTGAGGATAAGTTCATCCGAGTCACCAGCCTCAGAAATCGCAAGTTAACAGCAGCTCAGATCAGAGACCAGATGAATGCCACACAGAGTTCTAGCAGCAGACCCATCTCTAGAACAACTGTTAAGAGGAGACTGCGTGAATCAGGCCTTCATGGTCAAATAGCTGCTAGGAAACCACTGCTAAGGAGAGGCAACAAGCAGAAGAGATTTGTTTGGGCCAAGAAACACAAGGAATGGACATTAGACCAGTGGAAATCTGTGCTTTGGTCTGATGAGTCCAAATTTGAGATCTTTGGCTCCAACCGCCGTGTCTTTGTGAGACGCAGAAAAGGTGAACGGATGGATTCCACATGCCTGGTTCCCACTGTGAAGCATGGAGGAGGAGGTGTGATGGTGTGGGGGTGTTTTGCTGGTGACACTGTTGGGGATTTATTCAAAATTGAAGGCACACTGAACCAGCATGGCTACCACAGCATCCTGCAGCGACATGCCATCCCATCCGGTTTGCGTTTAGTTGGACCATCATTTATTTTTCAACAGGACAATGACCCCAAACACACCTCCAGGCTGTGTAAGGGCTATTTGACCAAGAAGGAGAGTGATGGAGTGCTGCGGCAGATGACCTGGCCTCCACAGTCACCGGACCTGAACCCAATGGAGATGGTTTGGGGTGAGCTGGACCGCAGAGTGAAGGCAAAGGGGCCAACAAGTGCTAAACACCTCTGGGAACTCCTTCAAGACTGTTGGAAAACCATTTCAGGTGACTACCTCTTGAAGCTCATGGAGAGAATGCCAAGAGTGTGCAAAGCAGTAATCAGAGCAAAGGGTGGCTATTTTGAAGAAACTAGAATATAAAACATGTTTTCAGTTATTTCACCTTTTTTTGTTAAGTACATAACTCCACATGTGTTCATTCATAGTTTTGATGCCTTCAGTGAGAATCTACAATGTAAATAATCATGAAAATAAAGAAAACGCATTGAATGAGAAGGTGTGTCCAAACTTTTGGCCTGTACTGTATATATATATATATATATATATATATGTATATAATAACACCTAAACTCCCTCCAAATCCTTTAGATCCCCTTCACTGTTTATGGAACAACCGATTATCTGCACATAATCCATCAAGCTGGGCAGAGATGAATCCAAAAGGATAACAGCTAGCAGCTCATCAGGGGTGCTAGCCAATAGTATAAACAGTGAATGTGTGCCCTGGGTAGCAGTGCCATCCTTATTCAGGGCACAGCATTTCTCTCAACCATATTCCACATCCCACTGTTGAATGTAATCCTCCTTGCTGAATGGATGTTTACACACTCAGAAACAAAAAAGCAACTATTGGATGAAAAACAAAAGAGAAATGTTCAGGCAGATATTAGAAAAAACACACACGGACAAACAGATGTTTTTAAATTGAGATAGTCTTGCTGCCTCTGGCTGCAGTGATTGATGGTGTGGAAAAGAGTACGCTGTTTTCCATTTCTGGCAATGCATTGTGAATACTCATCAGCCTGTGGAGGAACAACCTCCAATAGTATGTGGTGAACTGTAGGTGGTGATTAATCAGAGGCAAATGAAATATCTATCGCTGTCTTCTCATTATTTCCAGAGGTCATACTATTGTCAATTTATTTAATCTGGAAGGATTCCGACTATTAAACCACGTTGGTGTCATTCACAGTGTGTGTAGTGTTAAATGGTATGTGTATGCAAATGACCCAGGTCTTTCTAATCCATTTCCAAAAAGACTAATGAAATCTTGAAATAAGACCTCTATTTAACATATTCATAGAGACACAATGTTTTAAGAGACATTTAAAGGTCAGCTTCTTTCCCTCAATTTTACTTTTGCAGTCCCTTCTTATTCTACATCCATTAAAGCTGTGTGGTGTTATATCAGAGGTCCTTGAACAGCTGAATGCTATTGCCCTGGGTCCTCATTAAGGACCAGCAATTCATTTCATTTTTCTGCCACGGTCATTTGTTTCAATTAAAGCGCACCGCTCACTGCCTGCACACAGCACTTTGTTACATAGATAAGATGGCCAAAAGTACAATTCGAGTCCAATTCAGATTTTCATTTTCTGTGCAAAGTTTGAGGAAATTGAATCTGTATTAATGATTTGTGTGCTCCCCCCGTCTCTCACGCTCTCTCAACAGTTCATAGAGGTCATCGTCTTTTGCATCCTGCTCTATGTGTACAAGAGGAAGAAGGTGAAGCACATCATCATTGTGATGCTTCTGGTGGCCCTGCTCGGTATGAAAAAATGAAAGCTGTCTGATTGAGGGTAGAGGTTATGGATTAAAGCATTTAGGTAGTCAGAGGTTGCTTTGTTGCCTGGCTACCAAAAAATGGATCCGTGCTCTGTTATCATTTCAGTTGAGTGGGGCATGATGGAAGAAAATAATTCACTAAATCTCACTACAAACCACTGCCACCCCTACAGTGAGGAAGACTTTTGTCTGTATCAACTAAATGCTGAAGTGATCTGTTGGTTTTTGTTGCCGCAGCCTCTCTGACAGTCATCTCAGTCAAAGCTGTGTCGGGCATGATCACAGAGTCAATAAAAGGCCAGCTGCAGCTCATCTACCCCATCTTCTACGTCATGCTCGTCGTCATGGTCGCCTCTTGTGCCTTCCAGATTAAGTTAGTCATGGTTTTCTCCCTCTCTTCTTCTGTGTACCTTACATTTTCTCCTCTTTCAGCTTTTTTTATTGCTCGAATCCCTCATGTTTGTCACAGGCTGGGTGCAATTTTGATTTTTCAGTTCCCGAACAAACTGAGGAAAATAATATATTAGACATGGTGACATTGTATCTGCAGCACACCTCCAGTATTATGATGGATGAATAGGCTGCCACATAGTGTCTCTGTCAGCAAGGACATTACGTTCACTGCACCTCTCAAATCCTCTCTGTTCTCTCTACAGATTTCTAAATCAGGCAATGAAAATGTTTGATGCTACAGAAGTGGTTCCCATCAACTTTGTGTTTTTCACTGCAAGTGCAATTGTTGCAGGTATGTAATCCATAAAGCTGTCACTCTCTGTGGGGTAAGTTTCACTCACTGCCTTCTGTCATTCTGTTTGTGATAAGACAAGTTTCTTACTGTCCACAAATCCTGTGAAAAGACCAGAACCAACAATGAACTGCTCCAACACAGGTATTATCGTTTCCAAACTGGTGACATTTTTTGTAGCCACTGTAGTTACTGTGAGTCAGTCCCACATAGATTGTCCTGGTGTCATCTGCAGCTGAAAATTGTCTCCAACAATTGCATTGATTCATGTTGAGTAGCTGGAGTTTGCTAAAAATTACAGTGCCCAGTTGTTTTAGGAAATTGCTGAGCCTGATTTAACAAGACAAAGGGTCTACAACAGGAACACTACTTGGTTTGCTCGGGGCCCACTTTTTCAAAATGACAGAAGGCCACAGGGGTTGGCCTTTCTAGGATTTGAAGACATGCAGGGCTTTGCCTCATGGGTGTATTAAGAGACCTGGATACAGCATTGGTGGCGGCGCCTAGTTCTTTCCTATGAAAGTTGCTCAATGGTGCATGACGGCAAAAAAGTTTCATTTCCGCAGTATGAAATTATCTGGATAATTGGCGCTGCTTCCGCATTATTGGGCCCATACAGCAAGCACACTGGAGACTTCAGTCGGCCAAGCTGGCTACTTCCAGTGTAGTGCTCAGCTAACTTGAATGTCGTTAAAATTATTTATTTTTGCAGCTCTTGTAGACTTCACAATAGCCAACTTGATAAAATCCTGATAGGGGAACGAGTCATTTCGCAGGGACTGTGATGCTCAAATAAATGAATCTATGGATTTACAGAGGTCTCATTCCCAATGTAAGTCTATGGGAAGAAAAGACTTTTTGGGCCCAGTGGCATCACGTGATGGACCTGGGAGTTGTAATCCACTTCAAAGTCTGGCTCACTTTCTGAGGGCCTGCTTAGCATGGACCTCTGTCAGGGTTGATTTTTTTTTTTTTTTTCACTTTGGCACCTTATTTAAAGTACAAAAAATATTCCTAGAGTCAATCAGTTTATTTTCACTGTAAATAAGAAAATGATTGACAGACCACCCGGCACCCTATTGTGGGCCCTAAGCTGAGTATTACTGATCTATGAACGTGTTTGCAGCCTTTACTGCATCAGGCACAGTGGTGCTTTGAGCTAAATGCTAACGTCAGCATACTAACACCTTCACAGTAACTATGCTAACATGTTGATGTTTGCAGGTAAAATGCAAAACACAAAGTACAGCTGGAGGAATGTCATTAGTTTTGCAGGTATTTGGTCAAACAGGCTGACATTACCATTCCTAGAGCCACTCAGCTAGCAAGTATTAAAAATAAAATCAGTTTTGAGTTGGTAATTTCAGATTAATTTTCTACAAGTTGTTGTTTTTCTGGGATAATTATAATTCCAATTAATTGCTAGCATCACCTAAACATGCTAAATTGAGCTACAGGCAAGTATACAATTCAACATATATGTAGAATACAGTTTCCAGTAGGCCAAATAAAAGAATAATGAATTAAAATTCAGTAGGGTTAAAACAAACTTTTCTTTCAAGGGCATTCTTATATTCCCTGTAATTTCTACCAAATTCTTTCCAGGAATATGAAATTTAAATTTTAAGGAACTTACTCTTAAATTATGGACCCATAGAATAAAGACTGACTTCTTCAGTAGTGGGCTGTGTGCCACACGCAGGGTAGGGAGGTCTGAAAGTATTGCCAGACTTGCGGATTTTTAGTTTTGGTCTTTTTTAGTATTTGTTGGCTTTAAGAAACAGCAGCCATATCCTTAAAGATAAGTATGGAGGATAATATTTCATGCCAACTCAAACTCAGCACTTTGTGATGAAGATGTGCTCCAAAACTGCAGTAGCTGAAATTGATTCATGACACAACACAGTGGAATATAATACACAGTCAAGATGATGATTCACTCCTGTATATGTGAACCACTTAGGAGTCCTTGTTCAGCAAAAGCCCCACAGTATTTATAGCATGTGTATTCAGTCAGGTCAGGTCTTTATTATCCTGTCAGTAATAGTGTTCTTTGTTCAATCTGAGAAGAATCAAGAAAATGTTTTTCAAAAGCATTTTTGTCTTGATGGAAAAATCTACCCTCAAAACACTTTAATATGATTTAAAACATTTTTGACAATGGACCTGACATTACTAAATCCATTATGTTGTCTGTTATTCTTCTAGTGGATAAACTGCCCAACATGACGTCATTTCTGGCTATTTCCAGTGCGGTTCAGTGAAGTGTAATAGCAGAAAATGTTCCAGCAGTCCAAAACATCAACAGTAAACATCAGCTATTGGTGTCTCTCTCTTAGACAAAAGACCAACAGCTTCTTTCCACCATTTTGCACTGATGTCCTATAATCATACAGGGCAACATCCGTCATAGATCAATGAGGGAGAGCCACAGGGCATGTGGTGATTTGAGTTACTCTCACCTTTTCTGAGAATATCCAGCTCTAATATTGCTCTTGGTATTACTACTGCTCTCTCCACCTACACATATAACCCACAATTGAGTGCACTGAACAACAAATTACTGATGTATTATATCTGGCAGCATAAGAACATTTGGGGGTGGACTCCTCCTGTAAGATTAGTTTAGTTCCAAATTGAAGAATATTATTGTTTTGGTCTCAACCCGGAGGTGTTCACAGCAGCAGACTTTTGGACAGTAAAGTAAGCACATGAAAAGTGAAGGTACACTGTTCAGGGGAGTAAATTGTGTCTTTTGGGTTATTCTGAGGGTTTATTAGTGAACCTGAACATTTTCTGTGTTGCTACTCATCAGCAAGAACGACACTCTTCAGTTAATAACTAAACGCTTTCCTCTCATCATCCCAGCATAATGTGTACTCAGGATTTGCAGGGCTATGTTTCACAAACAAAGCACTTTAGATGATCTATTCTAGTACTCTATGAGATGTGAAATGCATTTTAATGTGCTTTTTCATTTTGCAGGGATCGTATTTTACCAGGAATTCGAAGGCTTGGCTTTACTTAACATTTTTATGTTCCTTTTTGGGTAAGTATTCAACAACACACCAGTATTTACAGCTTATTAAAATATGGTATTTACTGTGAGATGGTATCACGATGTTACTCTTTTCCAGTTGTCTTCTGTCTTTCCTTGGAGTTTTCCTGATAGCCCGAAACAGGCCAAAAATAAAGCAACAGGATCGCAATTTTATCGCAATGGATAAGATCCCTGGTAAGTTTTTCATCAACCTTTAATCAGCTCTCATCACCATACAGCACGTTGCATGCTGACCTATTTGTATTGAGTATGGTGTATTGATTAGCCAGCAGTGACCACATGAATCTGCTGGCAGTGACCCTGAATTTATCTGACTGCTGATGTCTGCAGCCCTGGCAGCAGGGTCCATCTAATGAGCTCTGCTGTCCGTGTTCACAGGGAGAAGGCACACAGACAAAGTTCAGCCTGAGGCAAAGACTCTGACATACGGATCGCTGGCAGCCAAACTCATGTGCAACAGAGCTGGCCAAACAGACGATTCATAGGACCAGCTCCATCTGTTTGGACTGTAATATTGGTGGATTTGTGTGTGTGTGTGTGTGTGTGTGTGCATTCTTCCTCCTGGGTACTTCAACAATATCTCTATTTATAGAAATAAATGGTAAGCATCAACTCAAACCAGTGCCAGCTGAGCGGCAGTATTGGTGGCCATATTGGTCTTAGATTTTATTTATTTTAAAAAAGGCAAATCTCTGTCAATATCCTAAATATCTCTTGAGTTAACAGTATTTCCAGCAGGGTTGTCAGGAGTAACTGATGAGGAAAAAATGACTCTCAATGCACTGAAACACCTCAGGATCACAGCGCAATATCAAATGCCCTACTAGCAATAAATTTCAATTAAAAAGGGGTCCAGGAGGCCACTGTGCCAAATGCCTTCCAGTGTAACATATGTGTTGTGTTTTTCAGTTGAATATGTTGGTGTAGGTGTGACCGGTTGTCAATAAACAAGGAGAAAATCTAATGTTTCAACAGTCTGGAGAGTTCATGCTCTATGGCAAAATAAGTGCACTAGTGCCCTCTAGTGGTAAGAGAGCTCAAAGAGGACCAGACAACTTGGTGCATGTGTTGTGTGGATCTGAGGTAAAGTGAATTCCCTTAATATGAAGTGACAAACAGAATAGTAGTTCAGTAGTTACGTAAACCTTCTCTCACAGCTGATCAGGTAAAGTTGCTCACACTTACCTGGCAGGTTTGAATTTGTGTGTGAAAAATTTGAGCATGCTTCACTCTGAACCCTGTTATGATATAACCCGTATAAAAAGCACTAATGCAGTCTGCCCGCCCATCTTTACCTCAAATAAACCTCAGACTACATACTCAACTGCTACCAAACTTAAGTGTTGCCAAGCAACAAAACTCTCATCTGCCACCTACACATTATGGGATGTGTGGGAAACCAGTGTACATGCCAGTGTAACTATAAAAAGAATGCATGTTAAAGTATCAGTTGTTCATTGCATTTACTTATAAGAGCCAGACTATTATGAATATTTCATTGTTGGGGGTTAGATTATTGAGTGTGCTGTAACATTTGTAAGGTTTTATACAGAAGAAGGTGGCAGTAATTAACCACAGAAGACAAATCCTGTCAAGTGCGGTATGTTTTATTGGCTTATTCAAACAAAACCTTGTCAATGCCGTGGCATTTTTAAACAGAATCTGACACTTCTCTCAAATTCATCCCATTAATTTGCCTTTTTAAAAATAATAGATTGACACTGACATAATACAGCATCGTTAGCATTGGTATAGAGGGATGTAAAATAAGCCTTAAATTAAAGGCGCTGTAAGTAAGAATGTGGCCAAAACGGTTACTGCACTCAAATTCAAAATACTGCCGCGAGTCATGTCCGCCCCCCCTCCCCTACAGATTCGAGGTTGCTGGACAGCGGCACGATGGAGAATGATATGTTTGCCCAAGGGAGGCTGCCATGGCAGGGCCGAGTCGCCGAATCCTTGATCTTCGGTTTTCCAGCGGACCGTTCGAGCAAGTCCGGCTTCACTGCTGCTAACGCTGCTGCCGGGATACAGTTCAGGAGGAACCGACTGCTAATGTTATGTGCCAGGACACTGCTAATACTGCTTGCCGTGCTGCTGTAGCTCAGTCGTAACTGTAACTGATGCTGAGACTCTACTGACTGCGTGACTGGTAGACGGCGGTGGGTGGTGCAACAGGCCAAAACACAAATTCAAAACAAACATGATTTGCGGACTGTAAAAATGTTTTTTTAAATGCGAATATTTTGGCTGTACTATTGTTGTCGGTGAGATCAGTATGTTATATGAACATTATTCCTTAGTCTCTGTGACATATTACAATGATTTTACGACTATTTGCTTTAGATTTCTTACATATAGCTCCTTTAATTAATTTTGGAAACCCAGTTGATAAAAGAAAACCACATTTATCTGATCCCTTTGAGATGCAGCCCTCTGACTACGGCATTCCTATAAAAACTCAACCAACCTTTCTCAAGTAAAACAATAAGGATGTCTCTTCCCAGAATCAAATAGCCTATACACAACTAAAAATTGTTCCTTCAGCTTCCACCAGGTAGCTTGTAGTCATCATGCCCTATACATGCCATTATGTCTTCAGCCAACACCATACAATAGACTATCAAGGCACACAGGGATCACTTGGCAAATGAGGCATCATGCAACTTAATTACGTATAATTTCAGGCCTTTGCAGGATAGAAGTCATGTTGATCTTTCTCTATTAACCAAGAATTCGGTGCTTTTTGAAAGTTAAGCTCTGCATAGGCTCAGATGTTTCAGTCAGACCTCTATGTTGATTTTAGCAAAGCGGTAGTGCAGAGATGTGGGGTTGCGCAGCAGCAACATTCCTCTGTGTTCCATCGGCTGGTTAAAGAGGGTGTTAAGGAGACCGGCAACACTGACAAACCCCAGGGCCTCCCCACAGCCTGCAGACAGGGAGAAGTCGCCCTGAGTGACCCAGCCTAGAGTCACTCGGGTGCAGTGAGAGGTGACACTTGGCAGAGGATCCGGCCACAGCCCCAGGATGAGGTCAGAGGAAGGCTGGGGGGAAGATTTGGGGCCTTCAGGTGTGGTGGGGTTTGGTTCAGAGGCAGAGGGAAGGTCTGACTCTTTGCCCTCAGTCTTATCAGAGGACAATGTTGCAACTTTCTTGGGTCCCTTCTTCCGACGCCTAATTCTGGTTTTAAAGTGGTCTTTGTGTGGGGGCTCCTGGGGGCCACTGTCCACAGGCTTGCTGTACAGCAGCTTCAGGTCCTCTGCAGTTGGCACACACACAATGGCGTGGAGCTGTGGATTGCCTTTGGACAGTAGTGACAGACGCACCCACACCAGACTCATTTCGTGCGCTGTGAAAAACTGTTTCATAGCTGAGCGGTCCAGAGGTGGCACCTCTCCAACACGGCATGGCCTTTGACCTTTAGATGTCGTGGGTCTGCACCAACCAGAGAGCAGCCTCAGTGACTTTCTGTTCCTGTGAAGCATAACAAACAACCAATATCAACTATGACAAATGATTTATATTCAAAAGAAAAGTTGCATTGGCCGTATTAAGCACCCTGAGAGACATAAAATTTGGTTAAAGCACATTTTTAATTCCTAATGCTGAAAACAAAATGCAGCCAATGGACGGTAAAAATAAATCCAATTTTTTTCTCATAAAGTCAGTCATTACTCAAAGCTCGTGTGATGGTTTTATGAGGATAGATGCAACTCTTCCCCTCGACTAATCTCTGTGATGTATTGCATCAATTTAAGGCTGGATGTACTTTGGGTATTCTCATCAGGGACGTTATGATGAAAGGGAGGTAGACTGGAGAAGCCCCATGAATCAAGCCTGTCACAAGCTGCGCTGGGGTCGCTTAATAAAAAAATAGGAACAAAGTGATGATTGGAGCCCGAACCCCCCTAAAACAGTGCACATTTCTGCTCAGGGGACCTTTAAAAGTCAACTGCATTAATATTGTTAGGAGTGTGATTTAGATGTGCAGGATGTTAAACGTCTGAAGGGAGCTTGGCGCAAAACTGCAGTGGGTGTGTGTTTTTACTGACATGAGATTCTTTTCAAAACAAGACAAAGAGAGGGGATATTAAAAAAAAAAACTTCAGCATTTATCACAAACATGAATATAAAAGAAGATAAACATGTACCTCAGTACAGTGATGTGGCTCGGAGGCTTCGTGACAGTGATATCTCCATGTGATGTCATCTCCTCCTCCATCACTGTGTCAGCCTGTGTTGTAGTTTGGGTCTGGCAGTCTCCTTTCCTCTCCTCTCCTCCTTCCCTCAAGATAAGCTCCCACTCCTCGGCCAGCTGTTGCCACGGGCAACGGAACGGAGCCAGACAGCCATGTTTAATGTAACTGGTTCTTTTGGCGGGCGGACGCCTACAGAAGAGGTCAGAAGGTCAAACCCTTGTCAAACTGTTGGGGGCAACCTTGCCAATTTATGTAACAAATTATGACTGCTGCACGGTGGATTGTAGTAGATGAAAAGCACACAGCCTTATTACCATCTCGTCTGCATGGTGGGAAATATCTGCATAATGGAAATTAACTGGGGTCAGAGCTTTAGAGCGTTTTCCTCTATCAAAACCTCTAATCCACTGACATTCGCACCACTTACTTAGGCTGTAGGCTAGTGAATATTATCTTTTCCTTGCAGATGATTGTACAGTCATGCAGTAACAGAACACTACAAAGAATCTTTAGTTTCAGCATCGTCTCATTATCACCTTACTTTATTCCTATTAAACTGAAAACAGTTTCCCTCACAGTTTAAAAGGGTAATTTAAAACACGTCGGTCTATATTCTGGGCAAGTTCTTGAGATTCTGTTTTCTATCAGCGGGCTGACACACTAGTTTTGTGCCAAAATAATTTTACAAGATATACAAAAGCTTTGGCAGCACAAGATGTCCCCACTGAAAACAATGATAATAATAATCACACACAACATTACTATGTCTGGTTCATTTCCCGCTTGGTTTTCAGCTGACCTTTTGAACTTGTCCAGGAGCTCTGCCTCCTGCTCCTCCTGAAAACGAATGCCTGCAGGGCAGTCTGGGTAATCGTGGGGGAAGTGGGGGGCTCCTTTATTCTGAGAGTGTTTCAGACTCATGTTCAGCCCTCCGATGCGAACTCCTCTGTACACCTGGCAGAGGAAGAAACAAGGCAGACAAGACCAAACACTGGATTTTTGGGGAACAAAGCAAACCTGAGGGCTTCCAGTCTGCCTTTAAATTTCAAGGTACATTTAGCATTTCACAGTGTTTGTCCAAACAAAATGGAACTGCCCCCAAACATGGACGAGGCAACCAAATAATAAAAACATCTTTCACAGAGGTCTCAGTACTGACATCCATTGTATTATACACATGCAGCCTCACAGCACCTTCAGTCAAATACTAGGAAACCTACAACCTACCCAGAGCTTACCAAGTAGTCATCATCACTATTCTTGATACACTATAGCTGATATGTACAATGTCTAAAACAGACAGTTTTAGAATATGTAAAATTATGCTAGTTTTAACATTATACAAAACAGTAAGATGGCTGCCACTTATCAGAAAGTGAAGATAATAAAGTGAAATTTAATCATGAAGGCACCGTCCATGCTACCTACCAGTGGGACCCAGAAGGCCATGCCCCACCCTTTAGGAAGCAGCAGGTCCCATCCAGCACCCCAGGAGCTCATCTCATGTCCCACCTGCTTACCAGGTTGATGAACCAGCAGGATGGGGACTCGGCCCTGCAGGGGTGTGGGGCTCAGCCTGAACCCCGGCACCAGCACCTCGCTCTTCATACGGTTCAACTCCTGTAGGCAACACAGATAAAATGCCAGAGGTTAGAGCAACAGCTAAGCTTATCTTCTAGAAATAGAGATGTCTGGCTAGGATGCAGAGGAAAGTGCTTAGAAGTAAGTAATGCACATGCACTGTAAGCAAAAGTACAACAATTATTGATGAGTACTGTATAACATCTCTGGTTGTATAAAAATGATTAACTACCTGCTCCGATATCTTATTATCAGTGACATTATCCCGGACAGACTGCTCCCACAGGTAACTCTGACAGCAGGGTTCTGGGACTCCTCGCAACATCAGCTCCCTTCTCTTCTCCTCGTCCACCTCTGAAACAAACACACAGCACACATGGCACGCTCCTGCATGACGAGCATCTCTTGTGTGAAGTGTTCTACGTCTGTTTTATACTGAAGCGCAATGCTTTTCTGAATGAACATTATTATCTCAGAACTCTGAGAAACGTTTTGTTTTTCTGAATTAATGAGTTCATTATCTCAGAATTTTGAAAAAAAAGTTTCTATAAAAAAACCTTCTGCTCATTTCTCGAAATTAACAAGATTATTGAGAAAATTTGTGTGATGATTTTGTTTTATTCAAAAAATGAAAAAATATATCTTTTAATGAAAACTTTTTATAATTCTGAAATACTAATCTCATTAATTCAGAAAAAAACAAGGCAAATATTTTGTTTCATTAGTAACTGCATTAGGCTTTAGAGAGATTCATAACCCAACATCTCAAATAGCAGTAAATTGATAGGTTATTAATAAACCATATTAAACTATGGTAACAGGAACATGCTGTACCACTCGCTCATTCACATATCATTCATACATGATGCACCTTCATTTATGACTCTGAGTCTGAATGGATAGTTTGGCGTGGTAAAATGTTCATACCCTAAATACAATACAATACAATCTATACTCAAGGGATTTTTTTAAGTAAGAATTACATACCCTGATCTCAATGGACTGTAAATAAGACTATTCTCTGATAGGAAAACAGGATCTTTCTGTGAAAAAGGATCAAGACATCAGCCTAAGAAGTGGATAAACATTATTTTGCGAAAAGAAAGACAGACTTATGTTTACCCTTAAGTAATCCCAGAGCCTGCTACAGGTTTACTGTAAAACAACCTATTCTAGCTTTTACTCAGCAACATGAACTCAGTAACTCAAGAAACTTATTTTTTAAAGCAGACTTCCAAGGTCTGTAAATTCTCTCATGTGGAGAACTGAAATAAACAAAAGGCATACAGTGCAAATACTACTGGCCAATGTGGCTACAATTCTCACTATGGGTAAAATCATGCAGCTGCACAGTCATTAAGTCCCAATGTATGTCAGCCAGTGAGCAGCTCTGTTAAAAAAGATTAAAATGTGAATATCTCTCGAGAGTCTAGTGACACCTCCTGCTGTTCTCTTAATGCTATGGAAAAATGGTGAGGAAGAAACTAGGCTTAAAAGAAGTTTCATCATCTTGTGATTACAGGTCACAGACTAGAAGAAAAATGTAAGTTATTTTAAAGCCGGGCCTCATTATCCTGGCTGTTGAGACTGCTAAGAAGGCTGTTAAATACTAATGCAAAGCAAGAAATGTCTTATGTTTGTTTATGGTTGGTTTTAAATTAATAAATGCAAGATTACAAGATGTGGGTAATCCAATGTGTAAAATACAAGATGGTTTCCGAGGCAAGGCAATCACATTCTGTTCCTCTACCACACGCCCCTAGCATCATGTGAGGAAAGACTAGCTAAGTAAACAAGGACATGTGTAAGCACTGACATAACACATAATATCAGACAATTATGATATAGTCTGATTTCCTTTGGCCTAATATACTGTAAACTAGAAATGAGCATACTGAAAGCAGCTCTACAGTGAAGAGACTGACTTCATAGTCTTCTTCATAGTCAGTGAATCAGCTGTTTTCTGTCACTGAGGCCATGTTTGGAGTACAGGGTCCTGCCAGGATTTGAACCTGGAACATCTGCATGGCCAGGCAGAGGCCCCCCCGGAGCACAGAACCAGATGTGTACTCACTGAAACAACCTCATGACAAGAAACAGACTGATTCTATGCTCCGCTATAGATATGTCCCATTAATGGTCAGGTTTCTACTGGCATATATTAACAGGAACATAAGGAAGGAAATATCCTGACTGCCTGCCATTTTACCATGTGTATCTATAAACTAACTGCCCACACCCTTCCATTGTCTGCCTGGTAGGTCAGATTTTACCTTGTTCCTGCTTTACACAGGGCAAAGCTTTAACCTTCTTTGTTGGTAAAGTCAGCCTGGGGTCATCTACAGTCAGACCCAGCACTGTGCCTGCAGGGAGCTCTCCAGTCGAATACATGCCTGGATGAATTACACAGTGTCAGATATTAGATTAAGCATGCTTACCAGATGGCAAAATGTAAGTACTGATAATAAAAACAACAATAGACCTTTCAGTATGTGAAAGACATCAGCTTGTTGTTGATGCAGATTCATCTTGCTCTGGTCTTTGCAGTGCTCAGGCCACCAGAAGGAGGAGGGCTGGGACTTACTCATTTCCTTAAAGAAGAAAAAAAAAACCTGGTATAAATCACAGTTCTTCTGAGTGAAATGCAAGTGTATTTCAGAGGCTCTCCGTTTGTCATGTTGCTAACAATATCATTCTTACATCACAATCTGTAGCAGCTTCCAGAGTTTCTGCCAGAACAGAATGGGACTGTGGTCCAATCAGGCGATAGCGTACAATCTCCATTGTGAGGTCACTGCAACAGATTCACAGGTGAAAAACAAAAACGTCAAATAAAATAATTTGGAGTGAAAATAATTCATCCAAGGCAAATTTTTACTCAATCTGCATCTTTTTTTTAAATTCACTACTAACTACACTAACTTTATAACTATTCCATTTGAGCTGGACTTCCAGGTAACTGGAGTTGTGGGAGATCTGGTTCCATCTCCCAGTATCTTCTTAGCAGGAGGTGCACCGGCATCCTCACAGGTTCGTTTTCTCTTGGTTCCAGTTATCTGCTGGGCCTCAGGGCTCTTCTCGGGCTTTGGCTCTGTTTCTAGGGTGGGAACAACCTCAGCTGGTGTCGCTACTGGAATAACTGGAGGAACAACCGCCTCATCACACTGGCACACAGACTGTAACTCAGGAAGAAGGTCCTGCAGGGAGCACAGTTACTGGAGTTACACTATCATATCTGACTAAACTCCAACCTTTCACCACAAGATGAATTTACTTTTTTTTGTCAGAATACTACATCCAAATATTTGCAGTATTCATAATGCAGCAAGCATACCTGTTTAATAGTGGGATGAGCCCAAATCCACAACTGCCTGTGGGTTGAGCCCTGTGAACGGGGTCTCCAGAGGAAGGTGACAGGGCCCAGGGGCTTTGAGGGGTACTGTCCTGCTCTGTACACCACCACACTGCCCTGTTTTCGCCCTGACAGACACAGTGCTGCAGCAAATGTAGGGCCTGGAAACACACACCATACGCATATTACTTTAAAAATTCATCTAGACAAATCTAAAATATGATTGTATGTGTCTTCACAGAGGAAGGATGCATGGGGAAAATAGGTCCACAGTGACAGAGTATTTCTCAGCATTAAAAATATAGACAGATTATATGTATTTGTAGTCGGGGTAGGGCGTATTCTCACCGGCCTCCTTGCTTGTCAGCTGTGACAGAGCAGCCAGCAGCTTGTCTTCCTCTCCCTGTAGCTCTATGCAACAGTAATAAGAAAGGTCCTGAGTGGACAAAACCAAAAAGGTTATTTTACTTGCAGTGAAATCCCATTAATAACAATCTTACTTCTGTAAAAGAATTAAACACAACACACACTGCAATTCTATGATGATGTACCTGAAGTAGGCAGTGGCTGCTCATTGCCCTGTAGCTAGGCCGATAGCATTTGTATGTAGGTCTGTCCCCGAGGCAGTAGCCCCACTTTTTAACCATGTGGAAGCGCTTGGCGTGCCAAATGTGTGTTTCCAGCCACACGTTCTTCCTCTGGCGGCGGTTGAACTCAAGCAGCAGATTTCCGTGCCGGCGGCGGGCCTTGCGGCTCTTGCTCTTTGCCTGTTCCTTCTTCTTCGAGCCAGCCTGGAGGCTCTTCTCTCGCTGCAGGAGGAAGGAAACAGAAATCAGAACTGGGATACATGACAATTATTGCACTTAAAGAAGGAGAGACTGTCTATGGAACAAGAGACAGAAAATATTAAGTAGGACATTAAGATGCTAAAAGGAAACATTCTGAGCCTTACCATTCTGTTGGCCACATCCCTCAGTCTGTGAGGGAGCCGCTTGGTGTTGTGGCCCATGGCCCGTCTTCTCATGTGTTTGGGCAGGGCTCCGAACACATGGCAGCTGCCTGTTGTCTTGGTGACAGCTTTCAACATGGCACACACCTCTGCCGCCCTGGCCCTGACAAAACCTCCAGCTGAGGAGTGATGGGAGTGGGGGGAGAAGGGGGAAGGCACTGAATTCTAAATGTCATTAATATGAGTATCCTAAATTAGACTAAACTAATTATTACTTGAAGGACGGCAGGAAAAAAACAGCACATCTGCACTAAATGAAAGGAAAATATGATCATTTTCTATGGCTTGCAGTATATTAAATGATTAAAATTCGGTCTCTAATAGCTATAGGATTTCCCATCAGACAATAACACAGAATGGTGAGGTCATTATACAACGATTCAAAACAAATAACACCTTATTTACAGTACGCAGTACAAAGTAAATTTGTAAGAGTAGGTCAGCGTTTTTACCACTGATGTACTTGGGCATCTCCTTGGCGTAACCTCCACCATCTTTCTGATGTCCACGGACCCATCCACCCCGTTTCTGAGGGTCCCTTGACTTTTCTGTAGTTGGATCATTATCGCCACCTCCACCTTTGGGAAGATCATTATTTTGTCTTTTCAGAGCCATCACAGGTAAGAATGAGATGTGTTCAAGACATGATTCCATACCAGGTAAGACACACAACTGCCCCGTGGCCACACTCCCTTAGGAGCGGTTGTCTCTATGGCAATTATTTTGTCATATTCTTATAAATTATTTAAAAATGTTTTTGTTAGCAAAGCATTATAAAACCAGCAATATTAAGGTAGCTCCTGTACTGTGGATTTACCTATTCCTGTGGCCTTCAGGAGGAGCATGGTGTCATAGCTTTTTAACCTTTGTTTTGTTGTAATGCTTACACAATCTTTCCACATCCCTAAAAAAATCAAAAATTTAATTAAAACATTTAAAACTATCTTACACTACTTACTAACAACAGTAAACCTGAGGTAGAGTATTATTACAACAAAGGAGCTAACATCTGATTTTCCCCATAATTAATTAATCTGGCCATGGATGTTGCCTATAACATCATTATTCCCTTTACATAAACTCTGCACCCACAAGGAAGTTTGAATAAGTTAAGGAGATAAAACTGTGTCCTGTTTAAACTGTTGTGATTAATATTAAAGTTAATTTATTCACAGACATGCAGAGATGGGAACAAATGATGATGTCAGACAGGACACAGACTGAGCTTTGCTGACCCTCTGAAACGCTGACGATGCAGCAGCAAGAGAAGACGAGAGAAAGAGGAGTGTAGAGGTCACAGACAGCATCACAAGAACATAGTCAGAGACATACTGGACCATATCAGATAAAAACAGGAGACATGGTACCGGTGACCGATGTGTCTCCTCCATTCTGTGTGCTGCTGTGAGAAGATGGGTACTGAACACTTGCGGGCTGGTTTCTCAGCTTCTTGTCCCTCATCTTCACTTTAGCAGCAGACATTTTCTGCAGAAAAAAGACATATTTTAGATGCCAGTTGCTAATTGCTAAACGAAAAACTGACACTGAAAACACCAACATGACTTGTCAATATCTGCTGATGCTAACTTTAGCTACTAAGCCACGTTACTCCACATTAAGTTGGTGTTGGTTTAAAAAACAAAAACACAAATACAACCTATCTAAACATTCAATACATTATTATTACATAGAATGTGTTCACCTCTAGATTCCCCCGTATGAGTGTACGCCAGAAACTTAGTTCAAAATGTGGGTCTGCTGTCTTTTCCAGTTAGCCACCATGTGAGTTTCATCACCATGCTTCCGGACATGTGGTGTTTATGGGATTTGTAGTGTATCTGCGCAACTAAAAGTTATACTGCCACTGCCAACCAACCTAAACTCTCTTGCAACGATGTTCTACTTTGTCACGAATAGTCTTGATTTAAGCATTCAATGTGTCAACAGTAGACCCACACTTGTGCCAAAAAAAAGGGAAAATAAAAAAGTTCTTGCGCGTCTAAAATGCAATTTACAGTACGGCAGCGCTGGTCACGTCATCCAGTGGGCTTGCAGCTTTCCCCTTGCCTCCCCTTGCTTGCACCTCCGTTGCAGCAGTTGTATTATTCCCCTGGTTTAGTTGCACATATTCCTAATAAAATGGCGGCATTGATCAGGAGGATTATCAGCACAACTAAGGCTCCTGCTGCTATCGGCCCGTACAGGTGAGAAGAGGTTCAAAGTCGCACCAAGTTACAGCAGGCACACAACTGACGTAGTAGCAGTCAAAGTACCATTCATATACACCACATGTCAACAGTGTTGATAAGATGTTTAGTGTGTTGTTGCCATTGATGTGTTAATCGGTATAATCATACAGTTGTGTTTAAGTGCACTGTGTCGTACAGTAGGTCTGTAGTGGTTGAAGCTAGGGGCAGTGATCACTCACTGGGATGTGCTTGGGAGCAAAGTACAAGTTTTGGGACTGCCCTTTAAACTTTGTAAACCAGTGAAAGGCTAAGCTATTAAGATCAACAGCAAACTGCGATGTCAAGTTTTCCCAGTGCAGTTCTCCTATCAAGTGTAGTAGCCCATGACTTTGCATTCAAATGTTTGGTGGGATTGTACAGCTCCTGTGTGACCACTGGCTGACAGTATAGTATTATATTTTACATACAGCATGTGAATGAAGCTTAAAGGGGAAAAAAAACATACGTTGTCTAAATGCACATTTTGTCTATGCAACAGAGCAGAGGTGTGTATGTTTGCTAGATGGTTCATTATAATATTTAATCAGTGATAATACAAAGTACAAAGACAGACTTTTTAACCCAAATTTCTGCGTTATCAGTAACTTTGGAAATCATCAAAATGTCTGATCGATGTCTGCTGTCCTGCAGCAGTGATGAGAACTAGAAATGATAACAAGATTTCAGCCCCCTCTGAAAGACATAACTCAGCCTTTAATTTAATTCAGATGATTCTCTGTCTCTCTGTGTGTTTTCCAGCCAAGCAGTGGTGGTAGATCGGACCATGTATGTCTCAGGACAGCTGGGGATGGATCCTGCAAGTGGACAGCTAGTGGAAGGGGGTGTTCAGGCTCAAACCAAACAGGTGACCCACCCAATACAACCTCCTATCAGTCATTTACTCATGCACCAGAAGCACTGCTAAATAACTATGTAAAATATGTTAAGTTGTTTACTTTAATCATTCACCAAGTTAATCTGTTTTATATTCTGAACATCAGGAGGCTGATACAGTATGAATAAATGCAGTGTCTCCACACTTTATTATTAAGACTGAATTGTTTCTTCAGGAGTGTCATGTTTCATTTTCTGCTAGCTTTGTGCCCCAAAGGAGCAAATCAAAATAAAAGATCAGAGGACCTATTTTTTTTCCCCCACAGGCTCTTGTGAATATGGGTGAAATCCTAAAAGCAGCTGGCTGTGGTTATGAAAATGGTGAGAAAAACTTTACCATCTGAAAAGTATTGCATTCAGCATTGATCACTTTGAAGTTCACATGGAGAATTATTTTGTCGCAGGTCTTAACTACATCTTGTCATTGCTTCCCGCAGTTGTTAAAACCACAGTGCTCTTAGCTGACATGAATGACTTTACCAGTGTTAATGATGTCTACAAGCAGTGTAAGTACCAATGATTCACTTATCAATGGGAATTTTTATTTGTTTTTCTATGCTGCTGAGCCATGGTGAAAAATAAGGCTGAAGTTCATCACTTGAAACTTGCAGTACAGACTTTGCCACCAGGTGTCAGCACAAGCCAGAGAACCTGCATTAACCAAGTGTCCATGGCTTGGGGCTTCCCAGTCATTTTATGCAAGTGGTCTCATTCTTACATAATTAGTTAGTTCTGTTTTGAGTGCCGATCTGTGGTTATATACTCTTTATTCATTATTGTAAATGCCTTTACATAAAATCAAACAATCCTAACATCATATTTGTCTGCCCATATCCTTGAGATACTTGTTATGCTTGAATCTTCTTTTCATGTGGTAAGTATGCCAAGAAAGTAAACACAGAGGTGTCAGACAAATGTTCAGACACAAGATGACTTTGTCACCACTGCTACAGGGACTGCTGATGTTTGCAGAGTCACAAAGCAGAGTGAAACCTGAGCTGCTGCTTCCAGTGGTTTAAGCCGTAATGTAAATGTCAGACATCATGCCATATCTGATGCTCTGCACACAGCCAAAAATCCTTTAAAAGGTCCAGTGTGTAGGATCGTACCCAGTGGCAGAATTACATAGTAAAAGAATGGCTTAATAGGGAACCAAGCTAAATGCAGGTAATGTCCTTCTACAGTCATTGCATTGTACAAATAATATTTACGTCATAAAGATATGTTAAAGCCAAACAAAACCCTCTATTTCCACTTTAACTCTAATTACAAAGCCCACATATGAACCCAGAAATATTCAGTATGGAGAGTAGGACTTTCATCTACATGCACCATATTTATTCATGTGCTGTTTGAAGTTTTTTTTTTCCCCCAATATAGGTTTAGTTAAGTTTAGGGGGTCCTTTAGACATGTCCCACTTCCATCGACCTTAGATATCATATAAGAAGTATACAGTATATTATATAATAAGGGTTACAGCGTACTGTGCTGCAGAGAAATACACGTACTTTTCGGTTTTGTTGTTGAGCGGTAAATGATTAAATATTTTGTATCAGTAGAACTGAAACTTTGAAAATCTTTGCCAGTTTAAATTCACAAAAAGAAAGCAAAATGTGTTCCCTAAGAGTCATATGTCCCTTTGCGTGATTTTTTTGATCAGCACCTACCTGACAGACAAAGGCTCTCATAAACTGGATAAGTAACAAAACACCTTTTCACTGACGTGGCTTAGTGGGCGCAGCTCAGGTGTAAATAGTGACACTAACGATTGCATGTGCAGACTGACTGGGACAATAGAGCAGAGCCCTTAATTAGTGTTATTAGTTACAGCCTGTGCTTGTCTTGCTGTGACAGTCAAAGTATCTGCAGTGGGAAAAAAAGACTTTTTATTTTATATTATTTAGTGACAGAAAATAGCATTTCATCTAAACATGTCAGTTATTGCAACTTCAAATCGGAGGTGCGTCAGATTGTTAATGTTTCATCATAAAACACATCCATCTTAGAAATCACAAGTCACATTAGTGTCTGTGTATCAGATTACTTCTTGGTTGCACTTTTTTGCACTTACCAGTTGTCAAAGCTCCACCATGCATCTGTTACAACATGTTTAAATATGTGTGTGTTAGTAACCCAGTGCCTTTAAATGTGCTGCTCTCTAGTCTTCAGCACTAACTACCCAGCCAGAGCTGCCTACCAGGTCGCTGCTCTCCCCAGAGTAAGTATTTGATTGTGTGTTTCCATTGGTCCTGTAATCGATTCAACCAAACTGAAAACTGTGTGTTCTCTCTCCATATCTCTTTTTAGGGTGGACTGGTTGAGATTGAAGCTGTTGCTGTATTGGGTCCTCTGACCGATGCTTCCTAACAAATGCATCTATCAAACCATGAAAACTGGAAAACCCATAATCGCTGAAAATTATATAGAATGTGCCTTGTTTTGTAGAGCAATTAGGGGTTAATTGAACAAAAATCCCACTGAGCACTTATTATTTCTATAATACAGTATATTTATCATATTTTATAGAGGATTAAGTGATTTTGCATAATTGTCATAAACATGTAGTGGAGTATCTTGCAGACTAACAGCAGCCAGGCTCGGACCACTTTCTCCTCTCTCATTAACATTGATGAGACGTGTTTGGAGGCAACGCTGCATTTTAAATTCCCTCTGCTCACATTTCACTGACAATAGCTGAAAAGTATCTAAGCTTGTTTGCTCTTATTGAGTTACACTGCCAGCAGCCAGCAGTGTATCCTCTCTCGCTGTGCCAGAGTAAGGATGATCAAATATAACTCAATAATAAATGGTTTTAATTTACGTAAATGGTGATTTTTTTTGTGATACCAATAAAACTATATGCAAATTATCTCTTTGTGATACATTTATTCTTGTCCCTCCTCAGTGATTAGTTATTTCGTACTGGACAATTGTTGATGCCCCCAGGGGTTTATACACAGGGGACAGTATGGGATGTTATGTCCCAGACCATAGCCCAAAATAGATTATAGATTACAGCAATCCGGCTCTTATAAATGTTTGAATTATTTTTGGCTTATGTGATGAGCATGGAGTTCATCAGAAATATTGTTTCATTCATTTGACTTAAAATTAAACTCCTAAGCAAAATAGTCCCCAGGAAAAGACTAGCACGAACCTTCTATGTCACTGTAAATCTCAAAAAAACATATAATCTTTCTCAATGCTTCATCCGCTGTGGGGCCAAATGTGTGTAACTGGGATAGGTTAACACATGTCAAAGCTGGGCGTCCACACAGTTATATTCCAGCCAAACAGCACATCAGCTGATTAATGAACTCTTGTCTACTGTAAAGCAAATGATCAAGTCTTCATTGTTTAGTTTGTCTGTAAAATAACAAGAAATATGAACAGGCATATTTTCTACAATGATTGCCCCCTCAGGATCGCACACTGCATTATGTGTACAGCATGCTGATGGGCGAGTTGTATCATCTCAAACACTGGAAATGTGAGAAGCTGACGCAGCTCTTATGCAAACTCATTTTAAATGATGTGTGGTGGAGCCTGGGCATGTTTAGTGCACAAAATATCATAACTCATTTGAATGGCCAGGGACTACTTTCCAAGTTTCTATGAAAGTGTGCACAGCAGAAAATCATAGCCTAGTGCAGTAGATAGAAAAATAACTGCTTACCAGCAATTAAGCTGCATAAAAACAGTTATGTTTAGAGCTGCAACAATTCCTTGAATAGTTGCCAACTAATTTAATATTTGATAAATCAGTTTGCATATTTTTTTAACAAAAAGAAAAGTCAAAATTCTCTGATTCCAGCTCCTAAATGTGAATATTTTTCTGGCTTCTTTACTCCTGCATGACAGGAAACTGAACATCTTTGGGTTGTGGACAAAATAAACACATGTGAGGACATCATCTTCATCATCAACAACCAATCGATGAATCCTGGCAATAGTGCACAGATTAATTGACAATGAAAATAACTAAGTTTCAGTCCTAGTTATGCTAATATCGCACTTTTAAAAGTCTTGAGACTATAGGCCATATGATGAAGAAGAATTCTTTTTAAGAGTCAGTCCTGTACCTTTGAATAATGTAAGTATCCTACTGTCACTCGGCACTCTGTAAAGTATGCATGTTCTTTTTTGAATCAGAAACATGCATTGGGCTATTGATTTCCATATACGAAAATACAGTCCCATTAAAAAAACCACATGTATTAGTGAGTGAAACTTTATTCTGTACACTAGGTTAGCAGAATCATAGACAAAGCTCAGAAAAAGAATATATTACAGAGACGAACGAACAGGTGAAAAAAGGTATCAGACATCAAAACAAATTTTGTTCCCACAACATCCATCACATCTTACACAAATGAAATAATTTTCTAAGAACTTTACATGTTTTTTTTAAACACATCATGTAGAACTAATGATAGTTTAAAATCATGTCCTAGGTGATCTCTTACTGTGCTACACATGTACCTTATGTAATGCAGTCACACCAAAACCAATGTGCATATGACATCAGCGTTGCCAGGCATTATGAGACCTTTCAATTTATCATTGGAAAGGCATTTATTTTCATGAAGAAAATTTTATAAACATCCACCAGCAACACTGCAGCTGCACAAAATGGCTTCATGGAACAGCAAGATGAAATATCAGTACCTGGATCATCTGCATCCTCAACCTGGCAATGATTCACTGTGTCATAACTAATCTTGTGCATATGCTTCCTGTGATCATCTGCATGCATTTTTTCTTCCTTATGCAAAAAAAGAAAAAGGATTTTACTATTGAAACCAATAAAGTGATGTTGAGAAAAAAACTTAAGGAAACATGGATTTACAGTAGTGCTCATCAGTATTACACTGTACACTCCGTTACTCTGCATTTAGTACTGTCATTGCTATTAATTAAATTAACCTGATTAGAAAGGCTGCAATTAAATAATGTGTAAACACCAAACAAAAATGTGGATTTATGGCAAAGTTTAGACTTCATGACACCTAAAAATCCAATCTGTGAAAATGTGATCCTTTAAAATCAGTTTCCCTACAGGTGATAAAAACTAAGCTGGCAGTGTAAACCTAGCCAGTGTGTTGTTCATCCACCCAGTCTGGAGTTTCTGTCACCTCAAACTCTTTGCATAATATTATTCACAGTTACATTTGGCTTGTATTCCTCAGAAGCAGCTATTTTAAAAAGTAATAAGGATTTACTTTGGAAAGTATCCTTCCCTAGTTCATCACACTATCACAAGAGTTCACAGATTTCACAGACTGGTGCACCCTCTTGTCTCATCTAACCTGTCCTGGTGTGTCTTTTTTTTATAGTGTTTTCTTTGCATAGGCCTGCATGTAGAGGCACTTAAGGTCTCAGTAGAAAAACTTATAAAGATTCATATTTACAGATGAAGGACTGATATTTCCTAAATGAGATGTTATTAAGGCACCATGCATATTAATGTATCTGGGGAACAGTTTGGTCAGCGCTTGTGACAATACTGAAAATGTAGCTTTTATTGCTTCGTCTTGTTTTTCTTCGAGTTGTCATACAATGGTAGCTTTGGGGGTTTCGTTATTTTGGTGTATGTCTTCTCTCTGAAAGAAGATAAAGAATATTGTGAGACAACCCTAAGATGTGGCATAGACTTGAACTGTTCATATTCAGTGTTTTAATTGCAGTAGGTTTGTCAGAGTTAGCAAACATCATCTAAACATTATATAGCTTTTCTCTACTCCATGCATGTCATTTTTACAAAGTTGTGTCTGGGCTCTGTGCATTTATAAGAGTATATTCAGTGTGCAAAGGTATACTGGATAATGAGCTGATCCTACAGTGTTTGCAATGGGTTAAAGTGTAGTTTGTGGTCGAGCTCTTACCGACTCAATCCTCCTTTTTGGCTTTCTCACTCTCCTGAGAGGCCTCAGTTACAGCCACCACTGCAAACACACACATTGCGAGATCAGTACATGATAAAATACATCCACATCATGCTGAGTCAACTTTGTGCTTGTTTAACATATAACTTAAAGACTAAAACAAAAGACATAGTAACAGTGCATCACAGAAGAGAAATGAAGAGGTAACATTCCTTCTTAGCCCCATCTGGTTCTGTTGAACTGGTTTACTAGTGATTTACCTGGCCTCTGAGCATACACACAGTATACTGTATGGTAATTGGTCTGGCATGCACACAACATAGCCTCCAGAGAAAAGTCTCATAAATGTTATGCAATATGTCTTTCACACCAGGCCAGTATTCTACACGTGCTGCCTGGAGGGGCGTCTCTGCCCTAAAAGTACAGCGTGTTCTTTGAAAGTAGTAGAGAGGGGTGCAGGCTTTACTGCAAACCACAAGCTCTGCCCCTCACACAAGGCAACTGACCACTGCAGGCATTGTGCATTTAATGTGTTAATATGCAGAATACACACTTGAATACTGGCACACTGATTTTGAATTGTTTCGGTAGTCATTACTTTCCCAGTAAAGGCAATAACTGTAGACAGTTTATACTTTGGATAACTCAACTAACTGCATCAATTAAGAGGGTGTAAAATTCCACATATTGTGGCCAGGTACGTTAAATAGTGCTGCTGTGTCTGTAATGACATGTGCTTCAGTGCAAACTACAACATACTCTAAATAAAATTAAACAGTGAAAGAGGGTCTGAGTGGAATCATACAGAGTGATCATCAACATGTGATGACTCACTAAAATTCTCTTTAAATGAGCCCTGAAAGTGGTTTTATGTCATCATTTTTAAACGAGGACTGGAATGCAGTCAGGCTTGCAGAACATTTACATTGTCTTATGTAATTCGAAGCAGCAGGGCATGATTATTCTGTAGTCAGTTCACAATAGAGTACAATGAGTGAGAGTTGCGTGACTGGATCTGTTGTGCTGACAACATGCTGCTGTTATAATCGACACACTCAAGACAAGCCTTCATTTCTCGCTCCGGGAGTGTGTGACTGCTTTCTATTCCTCACACTGCGTTATCTGTTCAGCCTCACAGCCCAACAATATCCTGTTCATCCTGTCAGCTCCAACCAATCACGGGAGTACAGACAGGAACCAATGTGTAGGATTGATTATTACAAGAACTGAAAGTTTGGTGTTGCCAACCATGTGTGTGTTGGATACCTGCTTAGTTACCACTGGCAGGGGGTGATGTTGTAAAGTGGTCTTACTTTGGCTGTATGTGTCACCAGAAGATAGACTGGCTGAGTGGGGGGCCATTAATTGTTTACCTGGATGTAAACAAAATCTTATCCACGCACACATTACTGAGTTTTTCTGGCTTTACTCATCTCATTCTGCTTGTTTGCACATGCTTGGTACCTAATACATGTTTGCATAGATTTCCCAGCTATTTCAGCCAGTGGCAATGCAGCACTGTTTGACCTCCACCCAAAACTGTCAGCCCTCCCTATCTGTCAGTATTGGTGGATCACGCCTTATCAAGCAGGTTAAAACACGGTATGACGCCTTCAAGTCAAAGTTAGCATGACAGGTTTGCCAGAAAACACTTCGACTTATCGGTAATCATGTAAATCACCGAGCTGTGAACTCCCTCAAGACATACAGAACTCTCTTTAACTATGGCAGCCATCTTTTACTGGAATCCTATTGTTGTCATCCTACAGCTGTTAACAGTCGTAAGGGAAATGTGCCCTTGCCACAACTGTCAACTGTCACGTGTATAAATGAAAATCTGCTTTAAATAGCTAGCTACATAGACCCATGTGGGAATCTGTTTAGTTCTCTATTACTGTTGTAAAATGATAGAGAGCATACCTTCAGGTGTGGGTTCAGGGGCCGCTGCCGAGGGTGCTTCGGCTGGGGTGGACTCAACCACAGGAGCCTCTGCTGGGGCTGCACTGTCTGCTGCAGCCTCTGAGGTCACAGTTGCTGCTGGAGTTTCTGGTGCTGCTTCAGAGGGGGTTTCTGAAACAGCTGGTACAGATGGTAGAACTTCTGCCTGTTGTACTGGCTCAGCTGCAGCAGATTCTGGAGCTGGAGCTGGAGCTGCTTCTGAGGGGCAGGGTGCCTCAGAAGGGGCAGCAGGGGGTGCGGTTGCCTCCTCAACAGCAGGCTGAGGCTCACTTGGGGCCTCAACAATGACTGGTGATATTGGAGGCATCACTGGAATAGTTGCGGCAGCAATCTCTGCATCTATAAGAGACTGTGCTGCCTCTACAGGTGCTGAGGATTCAGCTGGTGCAGAGACGTCACTTGGTGCTGAAGCTTCTTGTCGTACTACACCTTCAGTTGGGGCTGCAGCTTCAGCTGGTGCTGAAACCTCATTTGGGGCTGCAGCTTCAACTGATGCTGAAACCTCACTTGGTGCTGCAGCTTCAACTGGTGCTGAAACCTCACTTGGTGCTGCAGCTTCACCTGGTCCTGAGGATTCACATGGTGCTGTTGAGGCAGTAGCTGGTGCAGCATTGTCAGTTGGGGCCTCTGCCTCCACAGGAGCAGCAACTTCAGCTGGGGCCTCAGCCGCTACAGCTGCTGCCGCCTCCTCCACAATCACTGGGGCCTCTGCTGGCTCTGATACAACAGGTTCAACAGCAGGAGTGGAAACTTCAGGAGAGGCCTCAGCTGGCTCAGCGGTCACCTCCTCAACAACAGCAGGGGCCTCTGCCTGCACAGCTACAACAGATTCAACAGCAGGAGCGGCCTCAGACACTACAGTTTCTACAGGGGCAGCTTCCTCCACAGGGGGTAGTGCCTCCACCACCTCTACAGCAGCCTCAGGCTCAGCAGGAGCTTCAGCTGGAGCAGCAGCCTCTGAAGCTGGCTCTGCAGGGGCGACAGGTTCTGGCTGAGGCTCAGGAGCAGCCAGGAGGTCCTCCCCTGAGCCGAGATCCTCCTGGGCCTCCAGGGCTACTAACACGGCCTCCGCCTCTTCATCGGCTTTTGGTTGAAGATCGTCAGGCAAGGCAGTTTGCACAGGCAGCTGCATCTGGTCCTCGATGGTTTGTGCATCTTCTGGGATAATACCATTTCTGACTGCTGTCAACACAGGGATGACAAGAAAAGCTTGATTAGGATTTACGACTGGCAAGCATGTGGCACTAATCAGTCTTCAGATAGTGATGCCCTGTTAATCTATGACAACGATTACATGACAACGCTGAGCAACAAAAAAAGAAGATTCCAATTGATTGAGCTTGAAACTTCTTGGGGGGTCCTTGAGCCAAATTAATCATTAAATGATTTTGTTAATAAATTCCCAAATTTGTCATGGCAACACTCTCATCAACATTTCACAAGTGCATCCTAACTGCGACACTCAATGAAGAATCATCAGACATATTGCAGGGTGTTATGTATGTTCCTCCATGTTCTTTTCTTGAATAAATAAAATGTGTGTATTTACAAACTGGTTTAGTTTAACTCACCACGGAAGGCTGGAGATGGGGAAATATAGCAATAAAGCACACAGACTGCATGCTAGGGAAAACATCCTTTCATTTCCGTAGGTGGAAATGTGATTTATTGAAGCCTGTGCTTGTCTAAAGCCCAGAGGACACGCAAGTCACTCTCAAAGGAAATGAAATACACGTGACAACAGTTTTGCAGCCTTTGGAGAGACACCCTACCTTTCTTCTCATTCCCTGACCCCTCCTCTTATAACTGTGTGAACAAGTCATCAGCCCTTAGGTGAGAGAATACAGGAGATGAAGAACAATAGTGGGCTTGGATGCTTAAACTCAAATGTCACGAACTGCAAAGCACAGCTCAGTTACAGGAATCACAACAGCCTAACAGAGTGTGTCATCACAGTTTCCCTCAACAGTATTTTGCAGCTAACTTCTTTACAAAAACACCGGCTGGACTTTGTTCACAAATGAGACAAACCAGAAGGGTTCAGAAAGCTGAATGGGCAGCGGGTGGTTGGTTTGGACGCTGCAGCTTCCTGATTTTATTTGTCTGTCAGAAGTGGTAAAAAGAGCTGAGAGTGATGAGTGGAAGGGAATGTGACGGCCTGGCAAGTCAGATGAAAATGAGGCAATGAAAGATCATGCAACACAAAAAGTGTTTATGCGAAGTTAAATATTTCCAATAATATCCCATTTAAGTAGAGAATTGCAAAAGTAAAAGTATTCAGACAGATGTTCCCACAACCTTTAAATCCTTATAATGGCTTTGACCTAACACACTTTCCTTTTATAGATTTCAAACATGCTCTCCAACAGAGTTCTTTAAGCAGAGATCCACCTCACACACCAGCTATCACAAAGAATACAAAACCCAGCAGGCCAGAACTGGTGTTGAAAAGTCTGTTTGGGTCGAGACAGAGACAGCCTCTCCAGGCATGGATGACCCGCGTGTCAACATGATTTAGCAGCCAAAGATGACAGAGATCCCAGTCAAAACAGACAGTGCCACGGCTGGCCAAGAGCACAGAGGGGGAGGGGGGGCAGACGTGGGGCCCGGACAGGGGATGGGACCAGTGGTGGCTTGGATGGCATACAGCTGGTTTGTTAGACAGACTGTACACTGTATGATTTAAACCTCCACCCATTCAGCCACATTTAGAGAAGCCTGCTTGGGCAAAGAGTACAATAAGTGGTTTTCTTGCTGGGGTGATGTAAGAGCCTGGAAAGGGACCCAAGCTTCTCCAGGTGACCAAAGCTAGCTGGCTGAAGAGACAATGCCCTGACATAAACATCACACAGTGACATAGTGGAAGATGGAAATGCTGTACATGAATACAGAGGAACTATGCCAGGTGTAATAAGTACATATCACTCGATTGGGCTTTGGTTAGTCGCTTACTCTCCTTAAGACTACAGCCTTTCCTTGTACTTGACATGAGCTAGAGCAATCATATGCAAAAAAATGAACACGGACAGTAGCTGTCATGTGTTTGTGGTGAGATAGAGGGAGAACATACTGTACATGCAGCTGTGCCATGACATAGCCATGTACCAGTGGGTTGAACCAGTGAATGGACAATCACGGTCTGTGTCAGGCCTCTTGGTGGGCGTCTGCACACGCTTGAACATAGTGTCCACATGCAAGGCAAAACAAACCAAGGCAATATCCCACAGAGTATCACTGTATGTTTACATGCAAAACTCCCATGCAGAGGAATATCAGAGCAGTCACAAATCATTTGTATTCTTTTCAAAAGGGCATCAATGTCCTAGACCCTCCTCTGGCTCCTTTGCAATACTGCATCTATTGTTTGTATGAGCTGTAAATTCCTGGAGCAAATTTCAAACACTCATTATCAGATGATAATCTCACTTTTCGAGAAAACCTTTGCATACAAACTTTGGAAGCATCAAGAAGATGCACATCAAATTTTGGATCACCAGTGGTGCCCCCAAGGGTGATTGGGGGCACCATGCCCACCTCATACACATGGCCCACCCTGGAGAAAATTAATGGTGGTCAACAATCCTGTTTTTCAGGGGCTGTAGTGCACTAATTTTTTAAACTAGTGGGTCCACTCCATTTCAGTGTGCAGGTGCACCGCTTAACACGTAATGGCGAGGACCAGAAAAACTACTGAAATGAAGTGTAATCTGTCAGCCAACCACACAAGTGTCAGCTGACAAAACAAACATCAATGTTGGCCTACAGGGCAAAAGCCATGGTAGCTTTCCTAGCTGACAAATAATTGTCTGCATGGAAAGTAATGCTCACAATATGATTTTATTCGAGCCTGAATGACATCCATCAGTTTTCTGTCTTGTCACTCTCCCTTGACTTGTTTGTGTTTTGTATGAGGTCATGGTGACGTATACGCTGTTCTTATTGCTGAAATTTAGCGGCGGATCCAGCATATCTGATGGCTCCAAAAACTATCAAATGGTGTGCAGATGCCGCCTACTTGTCACACTGCAGCCGTACGCTGGCGTGCTGTGGGTGTGGACCCACAATCCAAGTGCTTTTAAATTAGTTTCTAAACTAAACAAGCTAAGGCATACATGGGCACCAACCATGTCAGCATAGCTTGTCAGGAAGGGGGCTACACAATGCTCCAAAGTAAGGTGAAATTTCAGCAAGGAAACAACATGATCATTTTAAAAGGGGTCCCTTGACCTCTCACCTTAAGATATCTGAATGAAAATGGGTTCTATGGTTATCCACGAGTCTCTCCTAAACATAAGAAGGCTTTTCACAATAAATGTTTTGTTCCTTGCAATCAGCAAACTCCTTCAAATTAAAGCTGTATATTTGTCTTTTAAATGAAACTAGCCTAACATGTTTAGATACATAACACATCAGAACAGGACTGCTGTGGAACTCAAAATATTAACTGCACCTGTGTTAGTAAATGTACATCAAATATTTAGTTACTTTAACTGTAAAATAAGTAGCCTATATACTACAACACCTTGAGCAAATTCCTGAAATTCAGTTATGGCTTTTGGTTTTGGTGTGCCACCCCAAGATTTTCAGTGGTCCCATCTGGCCACCCCTATGAAAATTTTCCAGGGGCGCCACTGTGGATCACATCAGTTTGATCTGGTAGATGCTCTTCGTTGCGTGCAGAAAAACATTTTAAGTCACAAATCAGACTTTTGCAGAGTGGCAGCAAACGGGTTGGGTTACAACTCTTGCCTCAGGCTACAGAATGGCTGCAAAACAGTCCCAGCTGGCTTTCACACATAGCTACTGGAAGAGTCAAACACAGTCCTCACTAAGTTCTACCAATCTGATTCACCTATGTGTATATGCCCAATTAGCTTTGTGGAATGAGGTTGAGAATTAAACATGCACATAGACATACACATCAGCCCTCATTTCATCAGTAAATCATGCAATGCAGTTTGTGTCAACACACTTTCAATGGACATCAAGCTAGAAATGGCTGATTAAAAATGAATGCCAACCACTTCTGGTGAGGAAATGGGTGAACATGAATAATTCTCTCCATGAGGCAGTGTAGTATGTTGTGCAGCAGAGTTGAGTGAGAAAGCACACGGTGTTCCAGACCAACCGGCAGCAGTCACACACGCCTCAGCAAGACATGGCTGAATAGAAAGTGACTTAGAGCAACTACTGTACATATTTAGAGAAAATGTAGAAACCATTTTTCATGCTCACCAGTATAAAAACACACAAAGGTATTTGAACATTTGAACGCTACACACTTAGTACTTACCCACTGTATCTCCATTGCTCTCCTCTGGCTTTGTACCTGGTCTTTTCTCTTGGTCAACAGTCTGAGCACTAGATGAGGAGCACCCCATGTTTGAAGAAAAGAGTTGAGATGAATGAAAAAAAGCTTTAAATCTACTATATAATGCAAACACAAGTTCCACTGCTCTCTGTTAGCAAAGACAGAGACTGTCTGGCAGTGAAAACATGGACCACTACAGCTCTTCAGTTCCTAAGAAAAGCTGGGCACCATTATCTCCCCTTGTCTCTTTCAGTGTTTATGCATGGCCTGGTGCCCTCCTGCTACGGATCTGTTGCGAGAATGCAGCCAAGCAGTGCAGGCGCTACTGCTGAATGTCCCCTGACTGCCTCTTGCTCACAGCCACACTATTCATACAGGAAGGGGAGGCAAACATGTGTGAATGAAGTGTGTGTCCTCCCCCTTTATAGGAGTGTCCTCTCTGGAAGAGATCCACCACCTGGTGGCTGAGGGTAGCACATGTGCAACATATGCATTTCTTTACAGTGGTTCTATTTTTGTAGAGTCTGTGAAGGTATGCAGTCATATAGGTATGTAGTCTTATTGCTGACTGAACATGGATCCCAAGATGACTTTTCCCCTCCAGTGATCATAAAGCCTGAAAAAACACACCAAGAAATGTGAAGTGTAAAATGTTTATTTGTCAGTTTTCTGTAGTTATTCATTTGATGTGGCAAAACATAACAAAAAATATTACAGACAAAAAATACATTGTGTTGTATACAAAAAGTGTATAAATATCTTCAGTAGAAAGCATTGTGTTAGCATATGTATCAGTGTAGCTTGTAGAGCAGGATGAAAGGGATCCTGTGCATGCCACACGGAGGTGTAACATATCTCAGCCTTTCATTTGTGCACCAGTTGATTCTCGAGTGTCTCCAGCTTCTTTGACATAGCTTCAAGTAGGCATGTAAAGGAAAAAATGCACATACAAATGAAAACACAACCTACCAAGTTCAGAAATGTATTTTTCATAGATCAGCCTTATCTTCAAGGAATACGTCACGTCCAAATGATTATTCAATTACTCAATTACTCACCCCATGTTACGTTGAGTTTGGGAAGAAAACTCTGTTTTTCTCGCATGCCTCCACGGTTAACAAAGAATCCAAAAAAGTGAATATTATTCATAAATTAAAGTTATAGGGGGGCGTGTTTAACAACAGCAAAACTATATCAAAGTATCTGTTTCCAAACTCTCACACAACTTGTGCAAGTTACATTTATCCAGTTGTATGCTCAGTACTTCACAAACACATGCATTTTGGATAAAACCATAATTCAAAACACTTCCACATAAATACTACTCATCTGTGCATGAGGCTATTAATTTGTGTGTTTCAGATATTGCGGTATTAGCAAAATCATCTACAGAGATAGAACAATGAAAGACGCCTCTTCATTTAAACTAAAATTAGTTTAGTATTTAGGTATTATTATTACTGATCTAATTGTCATCAAACCACACATTGAAAACCTTTCCAAGCTGAAACTTAAATTAAGTTTCTTTTACCGGAAAAAAACCTGTTTCTACCTCCAGGCAAGAAAACACTTGATTTTGGCAATTTTTTTACCTTTATTGGATTACGGTGATCGCTCTTTATGAATGCATTTGACCAGTGCCTAAAGAAGCTGGATACTGTATACCATTGTGCTTTACGATTTATTACCGGCTGTGGAAACCATGTCCGCAGACTTTCGCATTGGTTAGTTTCTATATATAAATGTCTGCTTGGGCTGGTTTCTTCTTATCTGTGTACATACATGTATAAAAACTAAAACCAATATGGCCTGCTCTCTCACAATATTTTACTGATGTTGGTCCCCAAGGTTTGAACAGAACTAGGCAAAAAAAAACAAAAAAAAACATTTAAATATGCTGCTCCTTCTTCCTGGAAAAATTTACATAAGGACCTGAATTAGTTTGAGGTGATTACTATGGGGAATTGAAATTAACATTAATGGAAATATCAAGAAAATATCAGAAAAGAAATGAAACTTGGATTATACTGCATGAGTTGTGTGAGAGTTTGTAAACAGATGTTTTGATATAGTTTTGCTACTGTTGAGAGAAGGAGGGATATTCCACTACAGAGAAATTATATTTGAATATCTTTTTTTAAAGTAATTCTATACATGTGTGAAAGGCACAGTCACATGTCACTTGCTGCATAGGTTAAGGTGTGCCTCCCCAAATGATTTCATTTAACCTTTATTTCGTTAAAAGATGATGCTTATTGTAGTCATTTGTCCATTAAACCATGACACAGCTCAAAACTGGAGCTAAAAATTCAAGACATAACATCATATATGTTATTCACTATGACTGTTTTAAATCATACAGAGCAATGCAATATAGAGACTACAGTAAATGTTAGTATGTCCTCTCACTTTAGTATAATGTATAGTACGTATTTTTCCTTGTTTGTCTCTTTGTCAATCAGTCATCTCAGTATGTTCATTGCTAATGCCTGTAACTCCATTTACAAGTTGAGAGAGACTTTAAATTCAGGTCAATATGTCCTATGTGTATGACTTGTTTGGTCCATCATGAGTCAAAATTAAGACTTTGTTTCTAACATCATTAGACAAAAGACACACCACGGTATCTGCTGTGTTCAAGATCAGTTAAATTATGTATTTTGGTGTCTATTCATTTGCATTGAAGGATTGTTTGGCAGAGACATACCTACCCAATATTACTTAAAAAACACTCATTGAATCTTGGTGTAACTGTGGAGCTGACAGTTTTTTAGAAAAGGATATTGTTTTGTGTCAGCTTCTTCAGCTTCTCGGTGACCTGGTTTTGAAACATCATCACGTTCTCACACTGGCACATGTTTTCATCAGATGGTTTGTCTGTGGGGAAAGAAGACACGAGACAAGACCTTACCGTCCATGGATTTTTTTTCCCCCTTACCTTCGCTCTCTCATTCTTCTCCTCACTCTATCTCTTCTAATCTTTCCCTACAGGTTTCCCTTCCTGTCCCTGCCTGTAGAGAATGCAGTAGACATGGGGAGTGCAGAGAAAAATGACTGATGAGTTATGTGATATGGATAATTGTACAGGGCTGCTGCCTAAAGAGAGTGTACAGAGTTGCTGGTATTATAAGTGATCATCATGGCAGCAGCAGGTGGCAGTGATGCACCATTTTAATGGAAGATTGGAAGAATGGGAGAATTCTTGAGCACTTAAACACAGTTTTGGAGCCCCTGTTTGGTGTGATGAAGCTTCATTTGATAAATAGCTAGTTCTGGAATAGTGCAAAGTACCTGTACATATCCTGGACTTGAGCTTCTTTGTAATTTCTCCCATTTTCTCAAAATCTTCAGCGTAATAAAGGTGCTTCTCATCAGGCTCTGACGCTATTTCTCTCAGCTCCTGCTCAATGGCTTTGCCAACACCCAAGGCATATATTGTGATTCCTGAAAATGACAGAAAACAGGATAATGATTGGAAGCTCCTGTAAGAAATAACTTAGGGCATCTGAATGACAGGGCAAGATAATAAGTGTACCAGAGTTCTTTGCTTTATTAGCCCATTCAGACACATCATCCTGTGATCTTCCATCAGTAAACACAATGCTGACGCGTGGGATGTTCGGCCTGGCTCCTTCTTTAGCTGAAAAGCTGGACTCAAACATGTGTCGTAAGGCTGAGCCAGTCAAGGAGCCTCTCCCCATGTACTGTATCCGGGACACAGCCTGTTTGATGCTCCTTGCCGTGGTGTACTGGCCCAGGGTGAACTCTGGGCGCACCTTGGTGGAGTACTGAAGAAGGCCGACATGTGTGCCTGTCCTAGAAATGTCCAGGGAGTCCACAATGCTGTTTACAAACTGCTTGACCAGTTCAAAGTTGGCAGGGCCCAGACTCTTAGAGCCATCAATTATGAAAACCAGATCCATAACTCCATCGGCACAGTCTGGCTCTGTCAGAAACAAGGACATCATGTTTTATGTATTTTTACTTAAAGGAATACTTCACTCCCCAAATGACCATTTGTTTATCAATTATTCTCCCTATGTTAAGGAAAAATTTGTTTTTCTTGCATGCCTCCACGGGGAACGAAGAATCGAAAAGCGGGAAAAAAATCTTGGTCATAGGTCATAGGAGTCAGTGTGTAACAACAGCGAAGTACACTGTATCAAAACATATGTTTATAGACTCTCGACTCATGCAGTGTAATCTAAGTTTCATTCATCCAGCCGTATACTCAGTACTTTCTAAACAGACTGCTCTTTCCAATGGGGAACTGAAATAGTAATTAAACCTCTGTATGTGCTCTTCAAAGAGAGACCCCATCGACAAAAACAGTAATTTTACTTCGTTGAACACAGGAGCTACTGGTCTACTGCCACCTCATTCGATAGGTTGTTTGTGTTATTGTGTGACTTTGCTGAATCCCAATTAACTGAAGCACAATACTGAAGTCACACAATAACATAAACAAACTAGCTAGCTACAAAAAGATAAGTTATATTTTTAGTTCAGTTGCCCTGTCTGTTTGGGAGGTACGGGAACTAAATGGGACTATGGGATTACACTGCACGAGTTGTGTGACAGTTTGTAAACAAATGTTTTGATATAGTTTTGCTGTTGTAAAGTGCGGACTCCTATGACCTAAATTCATGAAGATTTTTTTCCACGGTTGGATTCTTTGTTCAGCAGAGCCATGCAAGAAAAACATCTTCTTATCGTAACTGATATACAAATGGTCATTTGGGAGGTATTCCTTTTAGGGGAGGGTCCACATCAAAGAAAGTTGAGATCATACTTTTGCAGCGCTTCCCATCTTGAGCTAACATGAACCCTTGAAAACATCTGCAAATGTAGGAGTCGTTGGTATTGACACACTGGTGTTCACAGCCATGGTCCACTGTCTGACACAGATCCAGACCTGTGAGTTGAAATATACAGAAACAAGGCTTAGTGTAATGTTATGTGTCGCATTTAAGTGCCTTAAATATGTTATTTATATGACATATCATGAAAAGCACTGAGTTGTTGGAGTTATTTAAACTGCAAATTGTAATCATGCAAAACTGTATTCTAATTACATGTTATTGTAAGTGTATGTCTCCTGTCTTCATCATCAACATTATGAAAGGGAAGTTTAGAGAGGAGGAGGCTACAAATATGATAAATAGACTAATAACTATCTGAGGACATGAATGCTTCGTGATGGTAAACATAAACACAGAATATCCCCTTAATCCGGGGGAGGGGAAAAATATTTTTTGTGAGCACTAGGATTAACGCTGACCTCATAACTGGTTCAAAATTCATCCAAAATGATGTAACATATAAATACCGGAACAGGGACCAAAGTCATGGCAACATCTGAAAACATGCTGATGAAAGATTTCTGAATGTTGTTCACTTTACCTCACACTAACATCAATTCTGTCTTTTAATTCATATGTCATATGTGTGATTAAGATGACATTAAAGTCAGGTTTTTCTTTTCTCCATTAACATGAATAGAATTTACATAAGAAAATTACGAAGAAACCCCCACTGTGAATCACTCACAACAGAAGAAGAAGCTCAAATCACTGTGTTTAAATATCCACATCACATCCTTTGGCTGCAGTTCACAAACCATGTATGACAATGAATGAGAGTGGACTTACTTTGACATGTTTTTCCATCTGGGCGGAGTGTGAATCCATTTCTGCACTTACACACACATGAATCTTCTGTATTCATAAATTCCTGTTCACAGCCCTGTTTCCCATCAGCACAATAGTCTATCTCTGCAGGAAACAGTCCTTTAATCAGTACAGGCAGCACTGGGGAGTAATTACTGAGACAATAAAATAATACTCTTAAGTGCTGTCCAATGACACCCAAGGAAAGTATCACGGTGATTACAGTAAATGTATCACATCTGGGTTGATTATCCAATTCCTTTTGTGCTACAGTTATCATGGTTGCAGTCATGTTGGACTGTGACTACAACCATGTTAACAGAGAACAGGTTGGAGGACATCAATAGTCATTAATGTTTATAGCAAAGAAATGTCTTTCTATTGAGGAAATATATTTTTAGGAACATTTTGAAGAAATTGTTGATACAACAGCAATAAGAGGAAAGAAGCAATTGACACTTACTTTTGCATGTTTTCCCATCAGGTCTGAGTGTGTAGCCTTTCCTGCACTTACACACACATGAATCTTGTGTATTCATAAACTCTTGTTCACAGCCGTGTTTCCCATCAGCACAGTGATCAATCTCTGTGGAAAATATTTATTTTATGAGTACAGGAAGCAAAGTAATGACTGAGAAAATAAAATAATAGCTACTCTTAACTGCTGTTCAGTCTGACCCATGGAGAGTATTTATCACCAGTGGTGGGTACAGTAAATGTATCACATCAGGGTTAATTATCAAGTTTACTTTTGTGCTGCACTTAACATGTTTGGGGTTATGTTGGACTGTTAAACAAACAGGTTAAAGGACATCTACAATAACTGTTAATGTATATATCATTACATATGTTGTAAACTGATAAAACGTGAAAGAAATGTCTTACTACAGAAGAAATACATTTTGAAGTAAATTTTGAGGAAAATCTTTCCATCTTTGTTGAAATGACAGCAAAGAGAAGAAAGAAGCAATGGACACTTACTTTTGCACGTTTTCCCATCAGGTCTGAGTGTGTAGCCTTTCCTGCATTTACACACACATGAATCTTCTGTATTCATAAACTCCTGTTCACACCCGTGGCTGCCATCAGCACAGTGATCAATCTCTGTAAGAAATAGTGAGTTCATAAGATCAGGCAGGATTAAGGGGTCATTTCTTAGAAAACGTAGGTATCCACTGAGTTCTGCTGTACTCTGGCCAAGATTTTCATTTGTGCACTGGAAATATAAAAATCTCGTGGAAAAATTATATAAAATTTACTTAACACATTTACAGTCTGTTCTAAATGATGAACTCACTGAGCTCCTCTGCATTCTTGATATTGTTCCATTATATCAGTGAGCACAAACTCCAGACAGCTGAATAAATTACTAGGTCTTAAACATAACAACTTTGTATGTTCAGCGTCCAACACTGTGAGAACATCTGAAGTCTGTCCAAGCATTAACAAATTAGGTTTCTTCCTATAGCTACATGTCAACAATGTGTAAAAAAATATATATATTTATATATATATATCTATATACGAAACAGGCATCTACAATAGATATGAATGTATACAGCATTACATATGTACATCAATAACACATTATTTATTACAGTGTTTTCCTGCTCTAAAAGAGAAAATCTAAGAAGTTATTTTTTTGACATAGAAATAGAAAAACCCAGTGGACACTTACTCTTGCATGTTTTCCCATCAGGCTTGAGTTTGTAGCCCTCTCTGCATTTACACACACAGGAGTCTTGTGTGCTCATAAACTCCTGTTCACACCCACGGGTGCCATCAGCACAGTGATCGATCTCTGAGGGGCATAAACAGCACAGAACAGAAATTGAGGCATTGTTAACACTATCCACGAATGACAGTTAATTGTTGTAGATAGATTCTACAACCTACAGGAACACAGAAAACAGAAAACCATAATTCTTTCATCAAATATCTAAATCCACTCTCAAATAGACTGTGCACGTGCAGGTGTAGATCTGTGAACCCAACACAGAGGAGATCAAATGATAGTTCTTGTTTTGATTCGGTGATAATATGACACCCTGGATACACCTACATATTTCAGCAGCTGCTCTGATGATTGCAAAAGCACACTTCCTTCAGGAAATCTCCCGCACTTTACTTTCTGTTAACATCCACCAGAGGAGCAAAAGGGACATTTTCCAACAGTGGGTGGACTGACGTCATGCTGGCTCTCATTTGGGTTGGTGGGCCATCAGAATTAAGGTGGTCCTGCACCCATTAAGAGTGAATATTGTTGAAAAACACTATAAAGGATCATGCTGTTTTTATACCTATTATAGTTGTCATGTGATTCATTGTTGGTATGAAAAATGGATTATAGCTGCTTTAAAGTACCAGCAGATGACCTGCTGTGTATCTTGTTGCATTTAGGGATCAATTCAGACTAGGGAAACAACCTACTAGTAAATTTGCCATCCCCTCTGGTAGGGCTATCATTCAAAAAAATTACGATACTGATACCAGTACCCTAAAAGTGCTAACAATACCAATAGAGTACTTCATTTGATACCTTTTTTCTACTTTATTCAATAACCATCATGTGAATTGAAGCATTCTGCTGTGTAAAATGTCACCAGACACCAGAAGTGTGTAGTGTAGCCATACTTTCAAATGTTTTAGTGGTATCTTGGCATGCTAAACTGCCATTTACTTTAAATACACTGCCTTCAGCTTCACCACGCCACAGACTGTATGGGTGCTGCTGCTGTAGCGGGCCAGTCACACATTGAATTAAATCAAAAAACGCTTGTGGTAATTGGCTGCTAGAAAAATCCTAAAATAGTCTTTTTTTATTTGAAGATGTGGGTACAAAAAGGATCAAATTCAGGTATTGTTTGACTGGAGAAGTCAAGGTTGATACCTTAAAGGTATTAAGTACAGAAACCCCGTCCTATCCTTTTGTGATCGCCTGTCATCTTATTTATGAGAAAGTAAAGCGTCTTTGTGAGCAAAGAAGACTATGGTTACACCAGGAAGCCTTGAGAGATAAAAGCTGTGCAAATGTAAAAAAGACTGTAGCTGAAATGAGATGAGAGAAAAGGAATTCCTTCACCTTTACATGTCTTGCCATCGGGGTTGAGAGTGAAGCCCTTCCTGCACTTGCACCTGTATGAGGCAGGGCTGCTCACACAGATGTGCTGGCACTGATGGACCACCACCTTACACATCTCTGAACCTAACACACACATGAACATACACCAACAAAAATACTCAAACAAAAGGATGCAAACACACATGCATACACAAAAAAGGAGGGACATTGGATTAAAAATAGCAGGGATTCATCACCTCCACACAGTTTGGACTGGAACACCGAGATGAGAGTTTCTATCTGGCTGAAGTTGGCCACTAGGTGCACATGCTCAGAATGTGGCTCACTCCCTATGGCCTTCAGAGTGTTCATATCCACCCTGCCCACTCCGATAGCAAAGATCTGGATGCCAGCCTGCCTTGCCTGCGCCGCAATCTCCTCCACTGTGTCCTGAGGTCGCCCATCAGTCACAACCATGGCGATTCGTGGGATGTGCAGGTTAGCTGGTCGTGCTCCCTCTTCCTCAGTGAAAGCTGTCTCCATTGTGTACTGGATGGCCAGACCGGTCATTGTTCCTGTGGCAAGGTGCTCCATGTTTTTCACTGCCTGCTCCACTTCAGCCTTGGTGGTGTAGGTGTTGAGGGAGAACTCAGGCTGGACCACGCTGCCGTACTGTAGCAGACCAACCCGAGTGGCATCAGAGCCAATCTCAAGGAACTGAAGCAGGTTGATAATGAAGGTCTTGACCTTCTCATAGTCATTGGGGCGGATGCTTCGGGAGCTGTCGATGACAAAGACGAAATCCAGCGGGACTGCTTTGCAAGGGATCCCTGTGATCAAACACATGGTGGTTTGTGATCAGGGAACCAAATACTGCAAACTCACAGCTCTGTTTGGAGCAAAATCTAAACTAAACTGTTCGACTTTGTATCTTTGAGAGAAACAGACAAAAATGTAGTTGGTAAAACACACAACTGATCACCTACCCACTGGTTTGGTTTGGACATTAGACTCTACTCGACCTCTGGCTGCAATGGGTCTGAGACGCCGTCTGTCCAGTCGAACTGCATTACAGCACAACAGGCAGAAAAGGCCGAGGGCCAGGGACCTCATCCTGACAAGATGTGACAACTGCAGCTTTTAGAGAGAGAGAGGAAAGCACAAGAACAAGAACTTAAAGAAGCTCTCCCACAGTGCAGTGTAAGCAGAGAAGAAGCCTGCATTGGAAAGTAAACAGAGAGATATAGAAAGAGAGAGGCAATAAGGCAAGAGAGAAATAGCCAGAAACAAGAAAAGTTGTTATTTTTGCCACGTAATTGTGGGGAGGAATTTTCGATCTACATATGAGTCCGTATTTGAATAAAAAATTATACAGTGACAGTCAGTCCTGTTATTGGCTGATAGTGGTCACTATATTTCGACACCACAGCGCCGTCTAAGAATATTAGCTTTTGTGCAAGGATGATTTTGAAGTTTATGTGGGTCAGACTAATAACCACTGAATTATTGCATTAACATGCATTATGTTTCTGGATCACCATTTTATTGTGAAATGCCATCAAATTTTGTAGGATTGCCTAGATGAGTGCACCTGTCACCTAAATGTCAAAATTTATGATTAAGGCAGTCTTGGCAAAGTAGGCTGCACCCAGAGGACCTTGACAACCAAATGGTATGACAAAAAACACAACTTTCTTTTGGTTAATCCAGATATTTTATGTACCAAATTTGGGGAACTTTGGATACAATTTGAGGGAGGAATGGTTAAAAAAAACTGTTTTGAAAAGATTCAAAATCTTTTAATTCCAAGGAAAACATGGTTTCAAAAAGGTTGATTTTTTTTGATAATCTTTAAGATTCATTACTAAGTAAGCAACAATCAAAGTTCTTTAAAATTCATTTTTCAAAAAAAAACATCCTTAATAATCATTTATTGGTCAACTATAATAGCATGCAACACTCATAAACTCAGCTAATCTGCACCATTAGGACTGTGATTTGTTTTGTCAGTTTTGGCAACATGATTACAATTTGATTCAAAAGTTGCTAAGTCCTGATTGGCATCAACATGTGACATCATGTTTTTCAAATCATTTACTTTCAACTGGAGAGATGAGGACAGACAACAAACACAAAATAAAGAAATCTCTCCAAAACTGTTCTAACTTTGTGCTCATGAAAAAAACATGCTCTTAGTAAGAAGCCGATTGACAACATATGATTTCATAAGATTTTAGGGATCAGGAATCCAGGAAAATAAGCTTCAAGGTTCATCAATAGACACGTTTTGGGCTTTACAAGCAGCCACATGGTGGTGCGATTCACACCAAAAACCAAATTCTTCTTCCTATTCCTTTCCCAAATGTCACCGAAATCTGTTCATTATTTGTTGAAATATGCCTCTAACATACCAGGTGAGCATACCTGTACGACTAAAAACATAACCTCTTTGCTGTAGGAATCAAATATGGTGACTCAGTGTCAATAAGGTGACTTGTGGCTAGTTAAATTAATGATGAGGAGCGATATAAATAGTGAGAACTTTCACCTCCTGCATATTTGACCTCCCCAGCTTCAGGTTTCACATTTTAGTGTGTATAGATGTAACAGCACTGCATGATTTGTAGAGCCACAGGAAAGAGCACATTTCACATGTCAAATGGCAGTCTGATTGTAAATGTAACATATTAACTTGTGAATTTAAGGGTGCAATAATTTTGGGTCGTGTTACTAAACCAGCTCACGAGAGTCAAGTGTTCCCATCTGCCATCATATGAAGTTGACATGACTCTGAATGAATGAGCTTTTTGATGTTTTGCCACATAGGTGGTTTAAAGTGATTAAAGAGAGGCTGAAAAGTACCACAGACTGTTTCTCTATCCAGTCCCCAGGAGAGCCATGCATTACCTACCATATTCAGACTGTCGGCTCCACTGATGTCTGAAACCTCTCTGTGATCAGTGTGGAAATATCCACATTCAAAAATGGTGTGATGTTGCATTGGTCATATAGCACCAATCATAGTTCGGATAAAAATAAGTTAGACTTTAAGAATTTCTTAATGGAGTTCTGAACGTCTCTGTCAGCACTGTCCAGGGTGATGATACTGACCAAGTCCCTCACAGACATGTATATAACAGCTGACCTGGGACCTGCAGAGGTCACATATCCATGTTGCATCCCACAGAGCTGTCGACCTCTGACCTCACATCTGTTTCAAGTCTGTCTGCCATGGATGGACAGTGTTGTCTTCATCAATTATCCATCAGTATAACAAACGTATTATCTATTTCAATGGGTGAAAGTCTTTACTCTCCAGTCTGTCCTTCACTGTCATGTGACAACAGATGATTAATTTAATATGTACACCATTTCGAAAAAGTATTTATTATGTTTTTCTTCTTAACTGATAGATGGTCTCCTAAACTGTGTGTGTGACTGAAATGGTGCCGTCACAGAGCAATCCCTCTCAGATTTCCTCATGAATTAAAGCCGCGGCTGTGTGTTTACTATTAAACACAAAAACAGGGTGTACCTAGCTGTGTTTTATGGGACCTCTGTTTTGCGCATTCCCTGCCTTTGATGGCTTTTCATGATGCAGGTGATGGAAACTACGATGCTGTCTAACCTTAGGTAAACACAGAATACAGGTTGCAGCTGGTGATTCCACTTTTTTTAAACTGTGTTTTAAAAAAAGTTTCATAAAAATGACCATTTATTCTACAAAAGAATATTCCTAGTATGCATGTAGAGCCTGCTGTGCTCCAGCAGCTTAACAGACTCGTGCTATCAGGAAAATAAATCAAAAATCACTTACCATGTTATCAAAACAAAGTTTATCTCCTCAACTCCTGCGATCAAAGTTTCTCAATAAATCCCAGCACAAGTCAAGAGAGGAGTTCTAGCAAGAAGAATCAGTCAATAGTAGCTCCAGACAGTAAATATGCATATATCACAGCTCTCTGTCTTTTTGTATCTGTCCAGGCACTTGCATTGCTCTGCCTTTTACTCCTTCCACTCTCTGTTTCTGTTTACTCCCCCTCTGATTCCAACCACAGAGACGCCTCCTGTTCAGCTCAGTCTGTTGGTAAAACAGTAACTTTGCAGACATTTCTGTTAACTGATAGCCCCTTAATGTCACACCTTCACGATTTAGGTGGAGTGGGCATGATCCCAAAACCTTTCTCATGAATACTTCATTTATTTAAGCAGCCTGTCCCGTTTGCTCAGAGATTTAAGGGATTCTTTACATATTGTACTGAATGTGTGTGCAAATCATGGATTGACTTGAAATCATTTTTGGAGGTTCGTATATCAATTTGGTATAAGGCTAAAAAGGGTTTTAAAAGAACACAATCTACTCTTGTGTTAGATTTTGTCTACTAATTCTTACATGTTGTAAGCCAGTGGTTCTTAGAGGTCAGAGAACTTCCATGGGTCCTTGGGGGTTTTCCAAATAGGGAACAGTTTATTTTTGCTATTCAATTCAGAAGTGAGCCCAATGTGAGTAAAAGTAAAAATGAATATTCTGATTATAGGTTTCACTTCTTCTCATCTTGTGTTGACAACTGTAGAATTTTCATCTTAATCTTATGTAACAAACAGAATCTTTCAGATGGAGGTCCCTGAAGTGAAATCTTATCAAATGGGGGTCTGTGACCTATTATGTAGCAATTTACTTGACACCAAAAAGGTCAAGAACCACTGCTGTGGTCATTAAAGTAATTGGTATAAGCTTTTGTTTGTAAGTTTTAGAACATGCTTGAAGTCTTTTAGCAACCGAAATACTGTTCATTTATTCAAAATGTTTATTTTTGTCTAACAGGCTTAGCCACTGTAAAAGAGGTGTTTTGTCCATTTTATAAGTGATGCTTGGATGAACTCTCCACATCTCCACTTGGGCAGCAGTTTATGGAAAGACCTGGTAAGTGGAGTCATCATAATTCCAGCCAGTCTGGGGGTACCTGCCTGCCTCACAATGACCATCTTTATACACAGTCACCTCTTACCAATAGTTTCCAGGGGCACATCTGCCATTCAGGCTGTTCATACAGTGTCAGTGTCAACAGCAGAAACAATTAGAAATATTTTTCTCTTAAAGGAATACTTAACCCACAAAATGACCATATGTATACCAATTACTCAGGGCACTGCCTTGCATTTGTGAAGTAAAACTTTTTCTCACATGCCTCTACGGCGAATGGAGAATCCAAACATTCATCATATACTTTGTTTTAGTGAAAGAGCGAGCATTTGGGAAGTACAAAGCATAGGACTGGATAAATGAGACTTGGATTTAACTGCATGAGTTTTAAGACTTTGTAAAGATGTTTTGATATAGTGTTGCTGTTGTTAAATGCAGAGCCTGATTACTTCAATTCATGAAGAATATTCCCCTTTTTGGATTCTCCGTTTTCTTCATAATTGAACATAACATGCGGTGAGTTACTGATATACAAATGATCGCCGTGTCTGTGAAGTATTCCTTTAAACAATTTGTTGTAACTTTTGAGTTTATGCACATGCTTCTGCTTTACATTCAAAATAAAACACAAACATCTGTCACTGAAATTAGACTTTAATAGACAAACAAATGTCACTTCTTTATTTTTCATACAGCATCAGCCCTCAAGTTTGATTTTTGTGTCCTTGCAGGACATTTTGTGCCTAAGAAACAGCTTGCCAATAACTGCATCTGGTGGAGCAGACTTGTGTGTTTACAAATACCAGAAGGTCCCATTGGTTTAATTGAAAAAACACAACCGGGTCCATATTTACTGAGCTCCTGAGCGTATAGAGGCCCGATCGAGAGTCATTGCACAAGATTCCCTCGAGAAACTAATTCATAGTGACTTCAAAGAGCAAACTGATTCCAGATCAGTGCTGTCAAAATAGATAAATAGCAGCCCAAGACATTTCTCGTCTATCAGTAGAAACACACAGTTACATTTAAAGTTATGAAGGTCAACCAACACAACTCGACACTCCTGATTTTTTTAACACAAGACAATTCTGATTTGTAAATTAATAAAACAGTAAAAGAAGGTGATATGTTCGATATACACTAGGTTGCTCTTTGATCATGTCAGAATACAGGCAGACGCATTTCTTTGGGAAAACTTCCAGTCCAGGTGACACTTCACACATGGATCTATAAAGGGCACCCCATCAGATAGAAAGTTGTGAATAAAGGCAATCCAACCCTGATCAGGAGCAGAGACAAGACAAACAGGAAACACTGGACGACTCTTCACTCATTACCGTGGGCAATAAGATCGTCATTTTTGCATTTGTGCATAAGTTAGATATGAATATGAAAGGTAGCACACATAAAATACTATTACAGGTACACACAGAGCTTAAATAGCATCGATAAAAATATATAGAATCTATCAAACTTTCTAGGGCCTTATTACAACCAGGTCTAAATGCATTAAAATGCACATCATGTCTGGATTTATATAAACAGAACGGACATATGGAAGAGCTACAGTAAGAACATAAGGTCATCAATAAATAATAGGAGGGGATGAGAGGTCACGGTGGTGGTAGAGGTGTGTGCATGTACGTATGTATCGCTGCATGCATGGGTGTGCTGTAATGTTTGTGTAGCTTCAATATACCCATGAATATACTGTACACTGGAGAGGCAGTGTGGTGCATTAATCTTGCTGGGGGTTTTATTAACAGCAGGGTCCAGTCAGTAGGATGCTGGGAATGTTTTCATGCCGTAGCGGTGGTGTACGGTGGAGGAGCCTGCTTGGGAGGGAGGCTGAGACTGTCATCATACGGAGGCAGCAGCACCTGGAGATAAAAAGGAAAGAGCAGAAATAAAAGAATTTGGTTAGTATGAGTTGTCCTGTCACTTGACTTTGCAAAAAAGCAGGTACAATTCAAAATAATCAGTGTCATAATAATGATAAATCTGTCAATGTCTGTTTTGGTTTAAGTTGCATGACATCACACTGGCTTCAGTGCATTTCCAAACAGAAGGAGAATTTAACAGTAAAACCTTTTGATTAAGTGAAATATCTATAGGCCAGGAAGAGTTTAAATGGCACAGAGACAATTATGGCTTCCTAAAAATAGTCTAAACACAGACTTTTAATCAAATATATTTATGCACCATGGAGAGCTGAGTATGTAGGGCAAGGCAGCGGTTTTTATACGACACATTTCATACACAGAGAGAATCAAAATGGTGGACAGGAAGCACTTTAAGATTAAAAAAACAGAGTAAAATACATGATATTGCATTTAAAACAGCCCAAGTTAAGTTTTATTAGGTACAATAACAACATAAATGCTCTATGGACTGTATGGAAATTAATAGGGTGGGATGGTGGGGTCAGAGAAGAAGAAAGATGATGTGTTTTTTCTTTTTCAACCAACGGAGGGTTGTCTGAGTGCGTACATTTACATGCAAACTAATATTCCACTATTATTCTGAGTATGACAATATTCTGGATTTAATACAGGTCATGTAAACAGCATATTCTGTTTGGATATTCCAAATTAGAACAAGTGAAATGTGGGATATTCAAGAATTACTTGTTTACATAGGGTCTTTGGAATGTATACAGCATATTGACAATATGCGTATCAACTGGGGTTTTTACTGCAGTTTGCAACACACAGCCTCCTGCCTGTTTACGGCCGGCTCTGTGTGTTGTCAGGGATACATTGTACACAAACCAACTTACAAACAGTTTGCAAGGCAGGTGTAGAAATGCATGTCCCAAAGAATTTCACATTTCTGTTTGGAAGGAGAAGCACACTTATGTTTAAACATAAAAAGGATATCAACAGATTTTTGGATATGCACAGATTTTGCAACGCCAACCTTTTCAAGGAGGAATAAAAGACAGGGGCTGTGTTTGCACGGTTGAACAAGTCCATCACCAGTAAAAACATATTAAGCCCTCCTCCCCACCTTACTTTTGTTCCATAAAAACTAAAAGCAGCTTCACTTTACTTGGCTTTAATTCTTGGATGAGGAGACTAGTGTTTGAACAAGTAGAGGTGAGTCAATTAATTGATTTTGATTGAAGCAAAATTATTCTGCAACATTTTTCATAATGGGTCAATAGTTTAAGTCGTGCTTTAAGAAAAAAATTACCAAAAATTACAAATGACCAAAATGTACTGGTCACAGTTCTCATATGTGAATATATGCTGGTTTTCTTAGTTAGTAGTTAGTATTTTTCTGGACTTTTGTCAATCAAAAAGAGAAGGTTTAAATATGGACTTGGGCAGTTGGGAATTGTGATGGGATTTTCCCTCTTTTTGTGAGGCATTTCATAGACCAAAAGATTTATAAATTAACTGAAGAAATAATCACTAATGCAAAACAACAGCTAGTTGCAGCCTTATGACCATTCACATATGTTTCACGGGTTGATACTGAAGCAAATGAGCAGAAATGTATTTTGATTTGAAACCATGACTATCTGCAAGGCTGAAGCAGAGCAGTGAACAACTGTTTCAGAGCAAAAAGGGAAATGTAGTACACAGAGTGTCCTGAATAATGTGGGGGATGAATCAGATATAGGACACTATGCCATGTGACCAAAACAAATGCAGGTGTTGGCATCCAGATTTAGTTTTAAAGCAGTTCACAGACTCTCTAACTAGAGAGGGCAGACTTGCTTATTCATCCTCTGCTATTCATCATTCACACTCAAAGTAAGGATGTTTCTCTGTAGGTTTACACTCCCAAAAGCAATCATTTGTTTGTCATTACCACTTTTCTCTGATGTGCCATGATAAACCTGTTCACGTCTTTACAACATTCAGAAGAAAGTCTTTTATTCAATCAAATGCACAAATCTAAGCTTCCTCTCTGCTCGTCTCTTTCTCAGGTAATCAACCAGGAAGCAAAGCTGAGACTGTGTGGAGTCAGAACATCTTCGGTGTGACTCAACACCCTGGTTTTGCTGTTGACACCATGGTTAACAGAAATGGAGGCTCTCTCAATGGTTCAGTTGATTTCATATACAACAACA